TCATTAATGAAACTCCATTGCTGACTCATTCAGAAAAAGGCAAATGAGAAAGAAGGCATCTGTTGCTACTGCAGGTACTGCTGCAGCTGAGGCTGTTGCCTTTATCCAAATGAACCACAGCAGAAGTCAAAGTAAGTTATGCTGCGAGTCACACACCTGTGCCAACTGGGAGCAGGATCAGCAGGGTCTGTGAAGGGAAGTGTTACATTAAAATGGAATTAGTTATTGTTACTACTTCTTCAAAAATGTAAGAGTTACAATACTAGAAAAATAACTAATTACAAGGAAAAGTAACTATTGCATAACTTTTTGTGTACTTTTAGAATTCAGTGATGAGCAAAAAATCATCTAATGGCATTCTTTCATCCTGCAAGCGAACAAGCCAGCCCAGTGTGGCGAACCATGGATAATGACATTCGTGTCTGGCTGAGATAAGCAGAAGCAAGAATCAGACAATGCAAATAAATCAAAATTCACTTGTTAATGTTTGACATTTGCAATTCTGTTTAAACAATAAACTCAAACTGTTACTTTTAAAGCTTTTAGGAGTAAATAACTGAAGTAGAAATTTTCAAACATGAAACAAAGACACTCACTGACATCATTAGATACATTTGTGCAGTTGCTTGTTAGCTCAGATAGCTAAACAGCCAACACATGATGACCCAGTACATTTGAGCATCCAGAAATGGTGAAGCCAACTTTCTGAAATTCAAACTGAGCATCAGAATGAGGAAGAAGGAGGGTTTAAGTAAACTCAAAAGCACCATTGTTGTTGGTGCCAGTTGAGCTGGACTGAATTTTTCATACATTAGAATCTATAAGTTTTCTTTTTACACACAACCAACCTTACACTAGCAAGCTTTAAAGGGGCATTATGGAAGTTTGACAGCCAAAACACGTATAGAAATAATACATTTCTTCTTCATACATTCTCCTGCAATGCCCTGGTCCTGTAGAATGAACCCTGGCATTTTTACTGTGATTGCCTGTTTTTCTGTAAAATCACAGAACAAGAGAGATGCTCGGGTCGAGCAGGCTGCTTCATGCGCGTTCACGTTCAGGCATAGGCCATAGCATTTGCTATCAGTAGCTTTAGCAGCAGAGAGTGAGGTAGTGCCAACTCAGCGACTTTGTCGCTGTTCCTAACGCCTAGTGATGAACCTAGCTACATTTCTGAGGACCCTTAGCTACTTTCTTCTATAAATTTCCTGCAAATTAGCAACAAAATAGCCATTTTCGCTCCGAACCGTTCTTTGAACGTTGTTTCAGCTGTCATCAAGCATATAAAAGTTACAGATACAAAAGACATTACTGGCTAAAGCGGACTCTTGTGCAGGAGATCTGGGTTTTATTCTGGATGTGAACATAATTTATTTAGAGTTTAGTTTTTACATTAATGGTAGATTTTTTATAGTAAGATGCCCAAATTTTTATTTGAGACTCGCCGAATGGCTGTGAATTCACAGATAAAAAAGATATGGGTTCAACTTTCATTTTGGAACAATTTTTCAAGCAAGGGAAGGGAAGCTCTGTGAAGCTGACGGACTGACCCATCTTAAACCTTTGTCAGCTGTGCTGAAGAGAAAGGTACAGAACCAAATTATTTAATTAAATAGCTGTTCTCCTGTCCTCTGTCTTCCGGGCCACACACACGGGCCTGTCTCAGCTGTTATTTTCGTTAAGGAGTGTGCACGTACAGCATGCGCGCCTCATGCATGAGCCTACTGTTGAAGCTGCCGTTACGCTTTTGGCCTGAGGGGGCAATCGCAAGCATAAAAATTCAAAACTCCGTCAAGTCCCTTTAAGTTATAAAAAGGAGGCTTAAACCTGATTTCTCTGTCAGCTCGAGTGTGAAGTGGCTGAAAGGACTCCCTATGAAACATGCCAATTATGCAAATATCATAATCCTTCACTCTCTGGTCCATGAAAGCTGAGACCAAAAAGTGCTTGGTGTTTTTAAGTGGAGTGATGGTCTTCCGAGAGGCTAGTGACAGACATCCATGTAGAGGCTCACACAACAGTGGGTTTGAGACCTTTTTGCTGAAAAAAATTCTGACTGAAGAAACGTGTTCCTAAGAATATGGTGATGATGATGATGATGATGATGATGATGAAGAAGAAAATCTTAAAGCTTGATTTTCCCATTTTGACGTAAAGGAGATAGCATCCCAACCTGAAGTAAAACATGGAATAAGATAAATAATCTTCAACAAAAGAAAAATCCGAAGTCACTGACAGTGTCAATGCAAAATAATTGATTATTTTAAAATGATCTAAACTTACATTAGAATTTAGTGTTACACTGTTACAGTTTATACAGTTGTTAGTTACAAAACAAAGTTGAACGGTAAAGGTCTAATCTTGAAAAATCTTGAAATTTACAGTATGTGCAACTTAAACCATTGTCACAAAATCTCATTTAACCAGTGGACACTTACAGTATGTGTTGGGAATAACGTGTTGTCTTCTGGTTATTTAACTCTGCATGACTTTTTGTTTTTTGGCTGAAAAAAATGTTCACCCCACATTTTGGGAACTTGGTTGTCCCTGAAAACATATCAATCATAAAATTTGACACCCCCCCCCCCCCCCCCCCCCCCCCGTACCAGATTTGGTGACAAAACGCCAAGGTTTTCTGCAGTGGTACATCAGTGGTTTACAAGCCACAACATAACATATTTACCAGAAAACAAGTTTATTTAGATCCAGAAATGTTTCTAACCAATTAAACATGAAATAAACAAACATTTCAGTTTCACCTATGAATTAGTTTCCTCCAAATAAGCGTCAGTGTGTGTGCTTGTGTGTATGTGAGGGAGTGAGTGAGTGAGTGAGATTTGGGATCAGGGATGTGTATTAGCAAAATTCTGGCGATACGATATGCATCACGATACAGGGGAGATGATACGATATACAGGGTGGGCCATTTATATAGATACAATGGGCAGCACATTGAACACTTTTTATAAGTGGTCAGAAACTTGTAAATAACTCATGAAGGAATAAAGTTACATTCAAACCAAGCACACCATTGTTTTTCTTGTGAAATTCCCAATAAGTTTGATGTGTCACATGACCATCTTCCTATTGAAAAAACTAAAGTTGGATCCAAGATGGCCGACTTCAAAATGGCCACCATGGTCACCACTCATCTTCAAAAGTTTGCTACTCGCATATACTAATGTGCCACAAACAGTACGTTAATATCATCAACCATTCCCATTTTATTAAGGTGTATCCTTATAAATGGCCCACCCTGTATATGGCCATTGTCTCACGACTCCGCCATCTCCAGTTCGCCACTTTTCACAAAATCTTCTGGTTGCCACTGGTCCTGGTGGTTTTTCTTCCAGTTCGACGAGTTTTCTTTTGGAAGGCTGGCTGACTCCAGTTAAAAACCGCCACATTTCACCGCTAGTTTTAACACAAAGCTAACTGCTAACTTGATAAACTGATTGAATGGGATAGGTGGAAATGACGTTGGATGCGTCGTTCACGTTTCGCGTACGTTTGTGTACGTTGCATGCAGGCGGGAGGAGTATCAGAAATCCGTGGAAGATGACTGATAAACATGACTAATTTGGTGCAAACATTTACTCGCCAGGTGGCAGGTAGAGCTCAAAAATTTACTCGCCAAATGGAGCAATTTGCTCGCATTTGGCGAGTGGCGAGTGTTAATTTCGGACCCTGCGCATCAGCCAACACAGCCCCACAACATCCAGAGCCTTAAGGAACTCCGGGCGGATCTCATCCACCCCTGGAGCCTTGCCACAGAGGAGCTTTTTAACCACCTCAGTGACCTCAGCACCAGAGATTTTAGAGGCCAACTCAAAGTCCCCAGACTCTACTTCCTCACTGGAAGACGTGTTGGTGGGATTGAGGAGGTCTTCTAAGTATTCTGCCCACCGATCCACAACGTCCTGAGTAGAGGTCAGCAGCACACCGTCCCCACTATAGATAGTGTTGGTAGTGCACTGAACTGTAGTTTGGTGCATAAGCACAGACCACAGTCAGAACCTGTCCCCCCACACGTAGGTAGAGGGAGGCTACCCTCTCATTCACTGGTGTAAACCCCAACGTACAGGCACCAAGATGGGGGCAACTAGTATGCCCACCCCTGCTCGGCGCCTCTCAGTGGGAGCAACTCCAGAGTGGTAGAAAGTCCAACCCCTCTCAAGGAAACTGGTTCCAGAGCCAGAGCCATGCATTGAGGTGAGTCCGACTGTATCTAGTCGGAACCTCTCAACCTCACACACCAACTCAGGCTCCTTCCCCACCAGAGCGGTGACATTCCATGTGCCAAGAGCCAGCTTCTGTAGCCGAGGATCAGGCCGCTATGGTCCCTGCCCTCGACTACCACTCATCACACACTGCACCTGACCCCTTTAGCCCCTCCCACGAGTGGTGAGCCCATGGGAAGGGGGACCCACGTTTCCTCTTCGGGCTGTGCACGGCCGGGCTCCATGGGTGAAAGCCCGGCCACCAGGCGCTCGCCAGCGTGCCCCACCTCCAGGCCTGGCTCCAGAGGGGGGCCCCGGTGACCCACGTCCGGGCGAGGAAACACGGTTTCCATTTATATTATTCATCAAAAGAGGTCTTCACTTCAACCACCCAAGAAGCGAAATTGATTTTCTATTATCATTTTTAATATTTCAATTGCCATGACAGGGAAGGCATTGCCTCCCCTGAGTTCCCTGACTGCACATGACTGCAAAAGTCCTTATCTCACACATTTAAACTAAATCAAAGAACTGACATTAATTCAATTCATTTTTTAATAAAAAAGGATTTTTTTTATAAATGTCTTTTTCTTAAAAGATTATTTTATATTAAACAAAACTTCTTTGGTATGTTCTGTGTTTGGCTTCTAATTCCATTTTTGGTTCTTTTTCAAAACACAGGAAAGGTTTTCTCTTTCCCTTACTGACAGTTTCATTTGCCAACTGCAAAACATCCTCAGAGCTGATGCTCAACGTGCCAGCTCTGAGGATGTTTTGCAGTTGGCAAACAAAACTGTCAGCGAGGTAAAGAGAAAACCTTTCCTGTGTTTTAAAAAAGAATTAAACAAAACTTGTAATGAGCCTTGGAAAAGAAACAAAAATGAGAAGTGGTTTTCATTGCAGGGGCAATTTTGTAAACTCATGTGCAGTACTTTGGACAGCTCTCATGCTGTAATTAAAATGAACTGTCCAAATAAAATGGTATGGTATTACAACATTTAGAAATATTTTGTATGTATTCTGATGCTTCTGGTGTTTCATAATAATTAATAATATTTATATGAGGATCTCTATAAGTTCCTGATAAATTCTGTTGGTTCATTTTCTAAGCAGAGGGACTGTATAATTTAATAATAATTAGTCATTAATAATCTAATTTAATATGTACACATCAGAGATCACTACAATACCCACTGGTAAACAGTTCCAAATCTGAAGCCCGTGAGGACACTGTCCTACGTGGTTCATAAATGTCCTCAGTGAGAGACATTAACAGACAAGAGGTTTGGCAAAGCGAGGCCACCTAAATCTTAGCTTTTTTGCAAGAGGTTCTTTCATATTCGAAGTGACCGAAAAAGACCTTTAGGAATAAGTACCAGAATACAGAACCTCGTCTATGGTCATGAGCTTTGGTAGTGACTGAAAGAGCAAAATTGCAGAAACAAATGGCCGAAATAATGTAAACTTGTAAGCTACAGGCAAATCGGACTGCATCTGTTTTACTTTATTTATTTAACCTCTATTTGACCAGATGAGTCGATTGAGAACTCATTCTCAGTTACAACAACGGTCTGGCCAAGAGGCAGCAGCAGCAGACACATTTACATTCAGTGTGAAACAGGTTTAAGGCACAGCTTCCCTCTGTTCATCCACCAGTTAAACCACAGCGACTTGCAATCATCAACCTTCCGTTTGTGAAACACACCCGTTACTTCAGTCACTAGAGGAAGTAAAAACAGTACAGAGACGAAGCACTAAAATTCCAGTTTATTTATCTTTGTATAGTGATCAGACTTTTATGAGTTATTATCATGGTGGGATTGCTGACTGATGAAACAGAATGTGTTATTCTACCAGCGTGAAACAATTACAAGTTGTGGAAACACATATTTTGAGTTGATAATGACCAATGGCTGAACTCAGAAGCTGAAACTATTCTAGAAAAAACTGTCAGTTTTCTGCATGCTTGTCTGAACATAAAGCTAATGGTGGGATGGCATGGTCTGGCAACTTTGGTTGCAGGTTTTTGGTCAGCACAGTCATTCAGTTTTCTCTCCCATCAACAGTTCAGACAGTCATGTTACTGTGTGTCAAGGATCTGTAGATCACAATGGGTAGAGGAGGATCCTTTAGTTTTAATATCATATTGGTGGTTTGCTCTGTATGTTCAGAATGCCCACTGAGATCTTGGCTTCACACAACATTTTTGGTTACTCAGATCACCTCAACAGGTGCTCCAAGACCTGTCAAAACACAAGCTCGGAGGTGATAATGTCTTTGTTGATGCTACTCCCACATTCTAGCTACTTTTTCTTGCTGGGAACTGTTGTCTTTTTGCAGGAAACTCCATTAATAACAAAACCTCTTTTCTTTGGCTGTGATTGTTGTGGTATTTTTTTTACATGTTTTACTGTTATTTTTTAGCTTGTTATATTTTATTTTGCTTTCTTTTCTTGTTTATTTTTCTTGAATGTATATCTGTGCCTTTGTGTTAAGCAGTTTGGTCATTATCAGACTTTTTAGGTGTTTTATTAATAACGTTGGCCAAGCTTGGTTTTCTAAATTGACTTTTTACAATAGAAGCACACGTTTTATAAAATGTGTGGTTACGTCCTGCAGCAGCTACTTCTACATATTTGTAAATCCAATTTCAAGTAAATGGGATTCTCAAATAAAGAAGGAATCCTTATTGGGTTTATTTCCCTATGGGGAAATGATCTTGTGCCAACAAAGGCACACATTTGTTTTATCGGCATAAAAACTCAACAGAAATTGGACAACCATGTTTCTAAAACAGGTTTCCTCATCTGATAAAAGGACAAAAGACTGCTTTCAAGAGAATTGTTCAACTTCCTGGTAAGGCTTGCTTGCACGCACACACACACACACACACACACACACACACACACACACACGCACACACACACACACACACACACACACACACACACACGCACACACACACACACACGTACGCTTATATGCTTGTGTGGACCTCCATTGACTTCTATTCATTTTAGTGACTCCACTATGCCTCACCTGCATTTCAAAGCAGGCCACATTAGGTTCAACATGTCAAACAGAATCACACTTTTATCTCCTAATTTATTAAGGCACTTACTTGGGTTAATGTGGATCGTACACATTTTTATAAACGAAAGCATCAGTACATTACCTATGAGTTTATATGCACTCATTGGCCACTTTATTGGGTACATCTGTTTAACTGCTCGTTAACGCAAATTAAAAATCAGCCAATCACATGGTGGCAACTCGATGCATTTAGACATGTTGACATGGTCAAGATGATCCACCGCAGTTCAAACCGAGCTTCAAAATGGGAAAGAAAGCTGATTTAAGTGACTTTGAATGTGGCGTGGCTGTTGGTGCCAAGCGAGATGGTCTGAGTATTTCAGAAACTGCAGGTATTCTGGGATTACCTCACACAACCATCTCTAGGGTATACAAAGAATGGTCCGAAAAAGGGAAAACATCCAGTGAGCAGCAGTTCTGGGCAAAAATGCCTTGTTGATGCCAGAGGTCAGAGGAGAATGCACAGACTGGTTGGAGCTGAAAGGCAACTCAAATACTACTCGTTACAACCAAGGTATGCAGAAGAGCATTTCTGAATGCACATGTCGAACCTTGAGGCAGAAAGACTGCAGCAGCAGACCACACCGCGTGCCACTCCTGTCAGCTAAGAACAGAAACTAAGGCTACAATTCACACAGGCTCACCAAGACTGGACAATAGAAGATTGAAAACAATAGAAGATTGAAAAAATGTTGCCTGGTCTGATGATTCTTCATTTCTTCTGCGTCATTCTGCCTTGTATCAACGATACAGGCTGGTGGTGGAGGTGTAATGGTGTGGGGGGCATTTTCTCACTTTGGGCCTCTTAGTAATAACTGATCATCTTTGTAACGCCACAGCCTAACTGAGTATTGTTGCTAACCATGTCCATTCCTTTATGACCACAATGTTCCCATCTTCTGTTAGCTACTTCCAGCAAGATAATGCACCATGTCATAAAGCTCTAATCATCTCAGACTGGTTTCTAGAACATGACAATAAGTTCACTGTACTCAAATGGCCTCCACAGTCTCCAGATCTCAATCCATCAGAGCACCTTTGGGATGTGGTGGAACAGGAGAATCACATAATGGACATGCAGCTGACAAATCTGCAGCACATGCGTGATGCTATCATGTCAATATGAACCAAAATCTCTGAGAATGTTTGCAGTGCCTTATTGAATATATGCCACTAAGGATTAAGGCAGTTCTGAAGGCAAAAGGGGGTCCAACCCGGTACTAGCAAGGTGTACCCAATAAAGTGGCCAGTGAATATGTGTGACAATCTAAGCTGTGTTTATGTGAATCGTTTATCATGACCCGTTTTTAAATCTTGTGCATGTGACCAGGGAAAAGCTGTTGGCAGCAGCCCAGGTCCTACCACCGTCAGAGTCTGGGACCATGCACACCCCTTCAACTGATGGCCAATATAGGACAGCCCAAAGGAATGGACCTGAGCCCAGGTAAGAAGGGGGGCCAGCTAGAGGTAGTCAGGGCACCAGCACCCGGCAAAAACAAACCCATTTTGGGTCCTCAGACTGGAGCCCCCCACAGATACAGGGCAATCCAGAGGGAGAATAAAAATGACACCCTTGGATACAAAAGAATGGAACAAAACACATCTCGTGGTCGTGGAAAAAATGTTAGTCTGTTTGAGAAGGGTCAAATCGTTGGCATGCATCAAGCAGGGAAAATATCTAAGGAGATTGCAAAAATTACAAAAATTTGGTTATGAACTGTCCAGAGCATTATTAAAAATTGGTCCGATGAGTCCAGATATACCATCTTCCAGTGTAATGGGCGCATCACACAAGGGATGGGTACCAAATTTGATACTTTTTAAGACACCAACCGAATTCCATTGTACCAACTGAGTACCAATTCACGTCACGTGTGAAACAGTGCCTTGTTTTGGTACCCATCCTTCATATCGAGAACTTGCGAGACAGTGATTTGCCAAGATAGAAAACAGTGCCGACGCAAGAGTGTAATGTCGTCAGTCACTTTGGGCGAGCTGTAAACAGAGCAAGCAGCATGGCAGAGAGGAAGCACTCTTAAGTTTGGGTTCACTTCATTAAATGGGGCGGGTAACTGGGTGATGATGAAACCAGCGACAACGATCTGGCATCATCATCTCAATCTGCTCTGGTAGGTATGTTTAAGATAACGTTAGCTTGATATATTAGCTTCCGTTCAGCTAATGGTGCGTTCGCTTTCTCCTCGGAACTCAGAAATTCTGACTAGAAGAAAGCAAGCAAACGCTCTCTAAAGTTTGGCTTCACTTCACTAAATGCAATGGGTGACTGGGTGATGATGAAACCAGGCACAACGATCTAAATGTGAGGCATCATCATCTTAATCAGCTCCAACAGCAAAATAAACTGTTTAAGATAGCGTTAGCATGACATATTAGCTTGCGTTAACATTGCTATCAGCTAACGGTGTGTTTGCTTTCTCCTAGGAAATTCCAACTTCCAAGTAGGAAAAATCAACAGTTTGAAAAAGAACTGCAAAAGGCTTGAAGATACAGGGTAAATTTTGTTCACAGCAAAGATGTATGCTTTGGTTTAATTTGCAGTCTCTGATACAGAACCCACCCATCACACAATTTTTCCAGAGGGGAAAGGAGAGGAATAGGAGTACATGGAGCTGCGTTTTAGTTTGTGAAACACCACAATATAAAAATACAAACAGTTATATGGTTTCAACGTTTGTTTTAGTTTAATTTGTAGTTTATAATACATGGTCTCCTCATCATAGTTATTCCAGAGGGAATAGACGTAGTATAGGAAGGAGTCCATGGAGCTGGGTTTCAAACCCCACCTCCCCCTCTTTGAATTCCACATTAGTACACAGCTGCAGACCTAGAAAGTACAGCGTTACATGGTCATGTCCCACTCAGCGATTACCAAGAATAGACATTCAAAAGCCTCTTTTGTCTGTGGCAATCAACAGCTTTAACTTACAACATCACCAGTTCTTGTCCATCAGCTTCAATTCTCAGACATCAAAAACCCCAACTTGCCCAGAACCTTGTCCACATTAGAAATAAGTTTCTCCTGGAAGTCCCACAGTCGTTTGTCCACATTGAGCTGCTCGAGAGTCAATGATCCACGCAGAGCCACACGAACATGAATCAGACGACACACCTCTAACGGGACTCTGTAGGTTTGTCCAAAATACTTGAGAACTTCATGGACAGAAGTCTGCTCCACCATCCTGTGATGCAGACACACAGAAGTAAGTTTAGAGAAATCCATATAGGTAAATGTTTTACTGCACATAAAGTATACATATCTGCTACAGAGTTCTAACTACTAAAACTTAATTTTAAAAAATACTTAAAATTACCATTTAAAAATTTGCTTGTGGCACATAAGTGAAGTAGTGATATTAAGTATGATGCAACATATTAGTCAATAAGTAAGTGATTGGAATGTGTTTCTTGGGTTACCTTGGTTGAACTATCATCTTGTATGGATGGTATATGTTTCTTGCAGGGTCTTCTCTGTAAATGTGCTCCAGAATATTAATTCCTGGTACTCCTCTCCACTGAGGCAGATGAAACTTTCCACTTGGCTCATAGTGATTTTTGGGAAAGATGTGATTTTCAATCTGAAAAACACCAACCTACAAAACAGACATAGGATTCAGGGTCTTACCCAAGGATGCATATACATGTGGTGTGGAAAACGGGACTGAACCAATTGTTTAATCAACAGGTGACTGCTGTTCCCACTGGGCCAGAGCTGCCCCGGTCATAAAATGTATGTGGCAACCCTCTCCTTTACACACCGACAACTACCTACATCTGGATGCTGTGGTTGCAGCGTGTCCATCAGAGACATCAGGTTGTCGTGTTTATATGGCATGACAATCTCATCAATGTCATTCAACAGGACGTAGCGTGAACGCTCCATGGATCTGTAAATGCACTCGTTCAGTGTGGTTAGCTGGCCAAAGTAGTGGATATCACCTCCATGTTCTGGGAAATGCCAGCCACGAGATGGATTCATGTGCTTGTCGATGGGCCAAGGAACTACTTCCAGAAACCCCTCCTGGGCGTAACTCTGCAGAAGACGGTCAAGGTCTGGGCCACAGCTGGTGTTATAGATCACCACTCTGTTAACTCCAAGTAACCTGGGTCAAAAACACACATAAGTCTTGATTACTCAATATATTAGAATTAAAGCTGCTCTGGATACTCTGTAGCTTTTAGCCAGAGAGCAGGTGTGCAACCCAAACCCCAAAGAGTGTTAGGTATGAAGTGTCCTAAAAAATGTTTGTGGCCTCATTAACACATTAATCGCTGCAGATATCTTTGGGAGTGGTGTCATTGAGCTTCTCTGCAGCTCTCGCTACTCTTTATTCTCAGCTGAGCAGCTGCCAAACTAGGATATGATGCAATGAGCCAGTATGCAGGATGCTTTCTATTGTTTGCTTGAGGAATCACCCCCCACCCACCCCCGTGTCCTGTCTGGCTGTAAAGCAAACAGAATTAACTTCTGAATGCTGGCCTTGCAAATTTACTCTCAGCTGGAGCATAAAAGCTTCTGCTTTTACTTAAAACTTTATTGTTATTGTTTTTTGGATGCTTTATAATTCCAACCAGACACGGAGACAGAGGTGAAAGAGAAAGGAAGAGACGGGGGGGGGGGGGGGGGGGGGGGCAGGCATCGTCTGGCCTACACACAGTTCCACTCCCTTCCCCACAACCCTCTGTGTCCAAGTGGTTTAAAATTGGAAGTGGACACTGGCACTCGGGGTGAGGCTGAATGATCCCCTGCCGAATGCCGTGTGCTTGCTCACTCCTAAGGACCTAAATGTGTGTTTGCGTGGAATGTTGCTGGATGTGTTTAATATGCAAGTAAAATTGGGGGGCAGGCTGCCACAGGACTGCGGAAATGGTATCCATACCCACATTCATGAAAATTAAGATGTTGCTGAGCTTTTCTGACTTTTATTGTGATAATTTTTCCCATGTCAATACATTTAATAATAAAAAAATGAAAATATGTGAGTAGGTTGGCAACGTTCATGTCCCTTTAAGAAGCTGTACCACCCTGGGTCACTTAAAAATATAACTCAATGTAATAAACGTGACAGCCCCATCTAGTGGATCACTTTTGTTTCTGCACACACCTGTATTTATCGTCCATTTATCGTTATCAAGGTGAAATCCTCAATATTTCGTGATATTGATTTTAGGCCATATCGCCCAGCCCAAGTACATGGTGATCATGAAGGGATGGACATGGTCAGAAACAATGGCTCAGGTAGCCCGTGGCATTTAAACAATGCCCAATTGGCACTAAGGGACATAAAGGGTGCCAAGAAAACATCCCCCACACATTACACCACCACCACCAGCCTGCACAGGGGTAGTAACAAGGCATGATGGATCCATGTTGCCATGTCCAAGTTGCCACCCTCAGTTTAGGCTGTCCCCATCTCTGCCAGCCTTTAAGAGTCACCTAAAAACACACCTTCTCCGCTTGGCGTTTCCTGAACATGTTTGATTCGGCCCTCTTTTACGTTGAATTTCTTTCACAGTTTTCATTGGTTCATTTTATCCCTTGTTTTACCCATCTGTCCTGTTCTAGAATGTTTCACCATTTTTTTTGTAATTTGTATTTTGTAATTTGAATTGCTTTTATTTCTGAATTGCTTTTATTTTTTATTTATTCACTATATTTGTACTTCTACTGTACCATGTTCAGCGCCTTGGGCTTCCTGTTGCGGAAGGCACTTTATAAATAAAGCTTTAATTGATTGATGTTCTCATTCTGTTTAAGCCAAATTCTGACTCTAGCATTTGAATGTCTCAACAGAAATCGAGACTCATCAGACCAAGCAACATGTTTCCAGACTTCAATTGTCCAATTTGAGCTCATGCAAATTGCAGCCTCTTTTTCCTTTTTGTAGTGGAGATGAGTGGCACCCGGTGGGGTCTTCTGCTGTTGTATCCCATCCACCTCAAGGTTCTGCGTGTTGTGGCTTCACAAATGCTTTGTTGCATTCCTCGGTTGTAACAAGTGGTTATTTAAGTCAAATTTTCTCTTCTATCAGCTTGAATCAGTCGGCCCATTCTCCTCTGACCTCTAGCATCAACAAGGCATTTTCACTCACAGGACTGCTGCATACTGGATGTTTTTTTCCCTTTTACCATCATTCTTTGTAAACCCTAGAAATGGTTGTGCATGAAAATCCCAGTAACTGAGCAGATTGTGAAATACTCAGACCTCAAAATTGCTTAAATCACCTTTCTTTCTCATTCCAACATTCAGTTTTGAGTTCAGGAGATTGTCTTGACCAGGACCACACCACTAAATGCATCGAAGCAACTGCCATGTGATTAGTTGATTATAATTGCATTAAGGAGAAGTTGAACAGGTGTTCCTAATAATACATTAGGTGAGTGTATGTAGTTTCACATTCTTTACAAATCAAATATTGTAGCAGAGGCAAATCAATGATTTTTATTTGTTATGACCAGGAAGATGTAATATTCTATGTAAATATAAAATATTAACCTGCAAGGTCTTTATTGTAATTATTCAGAAGATTCTAGGATTTAATTCAGAAGATTCTAGGTTCTTTGCTTTTTCAGTGATCAACCACACCGTGTTATTTCAAGTAAGAGTCAGGTTTATAAAAGTAATAATTTATTTTACAAACAATTTAAAACATGTCTATTTAAAACATGACATTTAAAACATGACATTCTTCTTCCGGCTCTTGGAAGGTGCAGACGCTTTTCTTCTCCTCTCCTCCATATCTTATCAAGGCCTTTGTCTGTCTGTGTGTGTGTGTGTGCTGGGTGCACGGCTGCTTCTGCATTTTTTCTGGAAACTGGAAACTGAAATTCACTAAAATGGATCTTGTCAGTTGGTCACTCAACGCGACTGATAAAATTTTTTCAACGATGAGAACGGGAGAAGGGGCTCCCGGATGCCCCTCCGCGACAGACCCAGTTGGATACATCATGGACTCCTGGAAACAGTGGAACTTGATGTGTCTATCTCAGCTGTCTGTGGAGGACTCTGAAGATGTGTGGATATTCGTGGTGTTCGTGTCGGGTTTCCAGCTGATCGGCATTGGAGGCTACCTGGCTTACCAGAATTTTTTATTTATTTATTTATTTTTATTTATTTATTTATTTTTTTACCGTGTCCTGTCTGGCTGTGAAGCAAGCAGAATTGATGCCTGAATGCTGGTGACAAGCCTTACAGATTTACTCTCAGGTGGAGCATCAAAGTGTCTGCTTTTAATGTCACGCCTGATACTTAAAACTTTATTGTTATTGCTGTTGAATGCTTTGTAATTCTGACCAGACACGGAGACAGAGGTGAAAGAGAAGGGAAAAGAAAAGGTGGGGAGAGAGGAGGGGGGGGGGGGGGGGGGGTCTACAAAAATAAACAACGAACAAGAGTCTGCTTCTAGACCTGCAGAAAAAGACACAAAAAAAAGCAAAAGGACAAAAAAAGGGACACAACAACAATACAACAAGATCTAGCTATCACTGCGTCAACTTGATGAAAAAATATATAATCAATATTGCTTAACTGAAGAATCACGATAATAAATCACAATGCATTAAGTGCCCACCATAGTCTTAAGACCTGTATTTAACATGTCCAAGCCCATACTTTTGAGAGCACCATGTGAGCGCCTGTGTGTGTACACGCGCTTGTTTATTTAAGGTTTCTCTATAGGAGCGTCCAACAGAGAGTGTGAGGGACCACAGATCCGCCCCCCAAAGATGCGCAGGAGACGGGGGGAGCTCCAAGTCCCAGAGATCCAGGCGCTGCCCCAGAACACAGGAACCCCAAGGAGACTGCAACCAGAAAGGCCCCCGCCCCCCTCGAGAGGCACAGAGGATCGCCCCGGGGGGCCACAACCAGCAGCCGGCAGAGTCCCGGGAGACATCAGCGGCAAGCCCTCAGGCCCACCCGCAGCCTCCCACCCCCTAGCCGGCCGAGCCCGGGACCCAGCGACCCGGGACCCAGGGGCGACCACCCCCGCCGGGACCCAGCAGAGCCCAGGGACCCAGACCCCACCAGGCAGCCACCGGGATCTATCAGGCAGATGCCAAAATCTTAAACCCCCAGACCCGGTTGCCACGAACACTCAGGCAGACCAAGGCACAACCCCTCACACCAGGTGTGGCAGGGGGAAGGGGGACGGAGATCTATATCATCAAGAGAAGTTCCAGGAGAGGGGAGGAGTCAAAGGCCCCACCTGACATATACAGTCATACACAAACACAGTCACACACTCCCTCCCTCATACTCACACATGCACATACAACCCAAGACCTACAAAAATGCACGCCGGACACCCACTCATGCTCCCCATACACACCCTATTCACTCTGGTCCCGGTACTGCTGCACATTGGGTACAACCATCACCGGTAACCACAGTTTGACCCTTTCTGCTGGGGTGCTGATGAGTAGGCTCCCCCACCCAACACTAAGCACAGCAACCTACCACCCCAGACCCCAACCAGACGGCCAGATCTCCCTCCTAGCCTCCAGCCCCAGGAAGCCAAGCAACAACAGAGGTGGCTAAGACCCCTAGTCTCCCTCCGCCTGCTCCAATATAGTGTTGTGTGATCATGAGGTGTATTCCATGGCTGTGGTGAGTGGGCAGTGCGGGCATCATCCGGCCTACGCCAGCTGATGCCACCGCACCACCCCACTTACACCCTCAGCCATCAGTGTCTAAGTGCGGTTTAAAATTGGAAGTGGGCACCGGCACCCAGGAGGAGGCTGAGATATCCCCCTACCAAATGCTGTTGAATGTGCTCACTCCCAAGGCCCTAAGTGTGTGTTTGTGTGGAATGTCGCCAGTGGAAGTGTATAAGGTGCAAATAAAATTGGGGGGCAGGTTGCCACAGGAATGCGGAAATGGGGTCCATACCCACACTCCCTGACTTGCCCACCCCCCAAGGTCCTATGTGTATGTTTGTGTGATGATGTGAGGGAGCAGGAGGAGAGAAATATGCTGGGATGGGGAGGAATGGCTGGTTGGGCTTAGCCCTCCAGGGAGCCAGCTCCCCTACTGGCCCCAATAGGCACCTCCGTTGTCAAACTGCCACCCAGGGCATGGAGACCCCAGCCCATCCTGCCAGGGCCCAAAGCAGCAGCATTACAGAGCCATACGGAGTCCGAGGGCACCAACCCAGCCCCACCCCAGCAGAATATCTATGCCCATTCCTGCATTTGCACAACTTCCAGAATATATAAGACATCGGACATCCAGGTAAGGTTGGGTCCTCCCCCTCCTGGACCTCCCCCTCCCCTGTGATGGAACGGCAGAGGAGCCAAGGTCTACCTGAGGCCCCTGAACCTGGGCCAGGCACTGCTGCATGTTCCTGCCTTCTTCCCGGCAGCATACATGTCAGGACCCGACCCCCAAGGCCCCGCCCAGATCCCCACACGGGGCCAGCCACCCCCAAACCCCGAGCCCCCAGGCCCCCACCCAGACCCGCCCAGGGGCATTGCAGCTGCCAGGCAGTGACCCATGGCCGCCGCCAAGACCCCCAAGGGGCCCCACTCACAACCGCCAGTAGTCCACCCCCCGAGGCAACCCAAGCACCTCCAGAGGGGGCAACGGCCCCCCAGTCTCAGACACCCCCAGTGAACCCACCTCCAGGGAACATCCGGATACTCCAAACTCAGACCCCCCCCCCCACACACACACACACACACACACACACACACCATCCCGCAGGACAACATCAACGGCCCCCCACCCTCGCTATGTAATGGAACCGATCAAAGGAGCTCAGAGAGATTCATCTGAAGTGGAAGCAGAGGCTATATCAAGTGCAATATGATCTAACAAAAGATTTCTATACTGGTTAATGCAGAGAGTTTCTCTATTTTTCCAATTCAAGAGGATAGTTTTCTTTGCGATGCATACGGCAGTCAGAACCACGTGAACCACAGAAGTTTCCATCGGGACATCGTCCAGGTTTCCCAGTAGACAAAGAGAGGGGGTGGTTGGGATATGACATTTCAGAGACTTTGACAGGTCTTCACACACTCTACCCCAAAATTCCTGGACAGGTGGACAGGACCACAGTGCATGAATGTAATTGTCAGGAATGTTGTTTGTGCAGTGTGTACAGGTGTCAGATGACACAAACCCCATCTTGAACATCCGATGACCTGTATAGTGTACTCTGTGTAGAATTTTGTACTGAATTACTTGTAAATTGGAGTGTCTGATCATTTTAAAAGTTTTTAAACAAGTTTGGGACCAGAAGTTCTGGTCAAAGCTGACTGATAGATCCACCTCCCATTTTTCAATAGGGAATACTATTCTATCGTCTATTTTGGACAGTGTCTTATATACTTTAGACAGTAGTTTGGGGGTTTTGAGATGATAGAAGTCTAATACCCTTGGTGGTGTTTGTAATTCTATTTTATTGAGCTTAAATTTTTGTTTTACTACAGATTTAATTTGGTGGTATTCTAAAAAGCTATTCTTATCCATTCCAAATTGGGAGACTATTCTATTAAATGGGATGAAGTCCAATCCTTCATATATGTGTTCCAGGTATAGGATTCCTTTATTTTTCCAGTCCGGAAGGTTCATCATTTGGTTATTTTGCAAAATCTCAGGATTATTCCAGATAGGTGTGCGTCTGCATGTTACTAGTGAAGACTCTGTCATTTTAAGATACTCCCACCATGCTGTCAGAGAGGTGCTGATACTAATACTTTTGAAGCCTTCATGTTTTCTTATGCTTGAGCTAATAAATGGTAAGTCTGAAAGCTCTATCGTATTGCAAAGTGTCTGTTCTATATCTAACCAGGACTCATCTAGTGGGTTATCTTGCAACCATCTTGGTATATATTGCAGCCTGTTGGCTAAGAAATAATAATAAAAGTTGGGTAGATCCAGTCCTCCTCTGTCTTTGGTTTTCTGAAGTGTTTTAAGCTAATTCGTGGAGGTTTATCCTGCCAAAGGAATTTGGTAATTGAGGAGTCCAGAGATTTAAACCAGTCAGCTGGTGGTTTGTTTGGGATAATTGAAAATAAGTAATTTATTCTGGGTAAGACCATCATTTTAATTGTAGCAACTCTCCCCATGAGTGATATTGGTAAGGATTTCCATCTTGCAAGATCATCTTCCGCTTTCTTTAAAAGTGGGATGTAGTTTAGTTTGGTTAGATCTGCTAACTTGGGAGATACATTAATTCCCAGGTATGTGATATTCCCTGACTCCAGTTGTGTATTAATTAAATTGAAAAAAAAAGATAAATTAATTGGTAGAACTGTGGATTTTAACCAGTTTATAGAGTAATCTGAAACTTTTGAAAAATAGTTTATCAGTTCTATTGAATGAGAAAGTTATTGTTTATCTTTCAGATTTGCTGAGTCTGTGAGCTGGTATGAAGGCAGGCTCATTTAAAGGGAACACATGCAATGTTGTGTCTCCTTTCTGACCAGCTGTTGAATAGATGTTGAAAGGTCAGACTGTACCTAAACTGACCATTGCTGGACGTTACAATATGGTGTTTTATTAACAAACTACAATTATAAAGAAAACATTTAGGTGGTAACAAACGAGAATTAATTAACAAAACTGCTGATGTCTTTCCAAAACTTAAGTGTGTAAGCCGAGTGGATTTGCCGTAATGTGACGTCATCAGCAGGCGCAGGACCTCAAGCCGATCTGGCAGCCCAAGCAGATCCTTAACCGACACCGGTCTGCCCAGGGATAACTGGCTCCAGACGGGTTTGTGGGATAATTGCTTTAGCCATCTGGGGTTTATGTACTGTAACTGCTGGGCACCTATCCTGCAGCTCTTGTTGGATAAGGATAGTGGTCCTTCCTATGATTACCCCACAGGGGTCTCTGTTTTCTGGGGAGGACCTGCGTGTCCTTGGTCTAGGCGTTCCCTGTGGCCTATCAGGGCCTGAGAGAGGTGTGCTTCGGGTCTTCCACAACCAGTTGGAAATAATTTCAGGGAGAAACCACACACAACCACCTATACACACAATTATGTGTGCACACAGGTGTTCACAACACATACTTAATTGTTCTATAGCCACTTACACATTAGCATTGGTACTTTAATGCTTTAGTTAAATGTATAACTTTACTGACCTGTACATCTCCAGAGTCTGTGCAAACTGAAGCACGTTGTTGTAGTCTCCAAACAGGTTGGAAATGCAGACAGTGAAATTAAGCATTTTGTCCTCCTTTGCACTGGTTTTCTTGTTTTTTATAGGAATCCAGCTGAGATCAGATACATCCACTGTAGTGGGCTGAGTCAAAAGGGTAACATGTGAAGCTTCACAGTTTTCAGGTGTCTGACACATGACGTCTGTAGCACCAAAGGGGAAACCAAAGTGGTCCGTATGTTGTAAAGTATTTGCAGAAGTAGTTCCACTTAAATGGCCGGAACAGCAGTAAAGGCAGTGAAGTGGCTGGATGGAGTTTCTATGAAACATGCCAATGATCCGTATATCAAAACCATTCAGTCTGTGGTCCATGAAGGCTGAGACTAGTAGGTGCTTGGTGTTTTTAAGAGGAGTGATTGCCTGCTCAGTGACTAATGATGTGCAATCAGGCTGGGGCCTACGTGGTGTAGGGATGAACCTATTTGTGCTGCGTGATCTAAAATTAAAAAGTACTAAAACACACATAGAGATGATGATGATGAGAAGAGTTCCTTTGATGTAGTTTGCCATTTAGTTTGGGCTGAGAAGAAATAGAATCCCAACCTGAAGCAAAACAAAATCAAAGACAAATAAAACACATTAGAAAATTCATCCAGTAACACTAAACCTGAACAATACTGCATCCTGGGTTGTGCAGGTTCCTCCTTCACAATGTGACCAAGGTAAAAGGCAAATGGCCTGTATTTGATATAGCACCTTCTAGAGTCCTGGAACCCCCCAAGGCACTTTACAACACAATCAGTCATTCAACCATTCACACACTGGTGGGGATGAGCTACTATGTAGCCACAGCTGCCCTGGGGCACACTGACAAAGGCGAGGCGCCACCGGTCCCTCCGACCACCACCAGCAGGCAATAAGGGCTAAGTGTCTTGCCCATGAAAGTCTGTGGAAGTGTCTGTGTGTGGACAGACAAAACCGGAGTTTTAAGGTCCGCAACGTCACTTTCCGCGACAAAAAATGCTGACATCACGTGTGCGACCTGTGTTTACACTAGCCGACAGCATGGATGCCCTCAGAGCTGCGCTCGCTTTATCAATTGTCCAAGCGCTTTTTGCTTGTTTGTTTTTGCAAGCGGAATTACTGTTCCTTGCGGAAGACCACAGACAAAGGACGAGGTCAAGAACGGGGGAAGTACTGCCGCCTACAGGTCTGGCATGTGCTTAACAACGTATTTATCTGGGTACGTGTGGACAGAGTTTTTTTTTAAAACGAGGTGGTGTGGATGCAAGTTTTTGGAGGGGCGGATATTCGTTTTTAAAAAAACCCGGCTACGTGTGGACTAGGCCTCAGTCTGACCACAGTTCTCAGGGGCACGGTTTGATATTTTCCCTCTACTTTCTCTCCAATTTTTTGTCCTTGCTCCTTGAGGTAACTGGCAAGGCTGAGTCAGGCCAGCATCGTGACTCTGGCCACTGCTTAGCTAGGGGCGGAGTCACTGTTTGCTTTGGAGCTTTCTGCCTTCTCAGTTTCATAGGTTGAACAATGTGCAAACATGACTTAAATGCTGAAATAACATGAGCACAAACAGCTTCAGTTAGTATTCTGTTAACTTATGACTATTGCTTTTCATCTACTGCACAGGTATCAAACTAAGACCCTCAGGCAAAATTTGTAGGGCCCGACCAATATGCTTTTTTTGGGACCGATACGGACATAAAACTTTTAACAAAGGCCGGTAGCCGATATAATGGCCGATAAATCTCCCTCACAAAAAAATAAATAAAAATTTTCTTAAGCTTAAACCCTTCATTCTCTGCCTTTTGATGCAAAATTATTTCTCTATTACACACCAAAGAACTGTCTCAATAACTCACTAGGGTTTACAAGTAATGCAAATAAGATTTATTTGGCAGATCTCAAAAACAACAGAACGCACAAATTCAGTCACAGCATAAATCTAACATTCAAGTTTTTTCTTGTAAAAAGTGGTTTCCACAAATACATTTTAACTTAAAGGAATATTCCACCACTCAGTAAAATTGTGTCTTGTTAAGATTCCCCAGTTAGACAAGTCAGAAAATGCCTTTTATAACCAGCCCAATATGATCTGGCAGCAGTTGGTTTTCTTAGTTTAGCATAAAACAACGTAAGTGAATTCACATAGAGTGTTTTTTTATGTAGGTGAATGCAAGCCTTCCCTTCCATTGCTTTATGCTAAAACAACTGGTTACAAAATATTTTTTCTGACTTAGCTAAATCTGGGGAATCTAACAACACACAAGTTTAGGGACAGAAGATCCCTATAAGAATATTAAAATAATAAAAATGCAGCAATAAATAAAACGTAATACTTGTGCTTTGTAACAAAGTAACACTCTGTGGAAGTCAACTTGGTGAACTTATTCACCCTGGACAGGAAATAATTGTACATAAGAAACATAAATAAGAATAAATAAAAAAAAGTTCCAAAACAATAATTTGTGTTCAAAGTTCAAAGGAGTGGAGCCACACAACAGGAGTTCATAAAGCTGGCGCCATCTGCTGGATAGGTAGCGCAATATCGGCCATATCGGCCGTCTTTTTGGCCGATAGCTGATACTGTTAATGACCCCAATATCGGCCGATAATATCGACCGGCATATCGGTCGGGCCCTACAAATTTGGCCTGAGGTCAAATTTTTTAGGCCTGCGGGATCAAATATCAAATATATATTAAAACTGGCCTAGTGGCCCATTTTGCTGCACAGACAACAAATCACCTACTGCTTTGCGGCGTGAGCGTGTCAGTCGAAGCAACCCCTTTTTTCTGTTTACAGTCATTAGCATCTATGCTACTAGAATCAGTGTCTGCAGTGATACCCTCCTTAAGCCTGATTCATGCTTCTGCGTCTGTGTCAGTGCGGGGACACGCAACGCCATTATCCGTCCTTGCGGGCCTGCTGAAGAGCCCCGCAAGGATGTACGGAGTCGAGCTCTCTTTTCTAAACATCCGTCTGTCAAGACGGAGAATGCAAGCTTGTGAATGGTCAGGGCACCGCTGTCATCTACACCGCCATCATCGCGCCCTCAAAAACATAAAGAGAGCCAAGAATAACTAACGGCAGACACGGAGACGCTTGAAGAATACCTCGCGAAAAACCTCTAAAAATATGAACGTTTCATTCCCCCGTGACTGGAGGAGTGAAAAGATATGCAGCAGGCATTTTATTTGTGGACGGAAAAGACAGGAAACGTTGGTTTAGAGGTGGCGAGCGCATGAAGAGGTGGAGGAGAAGACAAATTTGTCTGTGTTAAAAAGTCTCTTATATGCAAAAAAACACATCATAAACACACTATCTTGGACCGGATACATGACAGAATACCACAGAACAGCGCTACGCCCTCTGTTGTCCTGGCGGGGAATTGCTTTGCAACACTCACCAGGAGACGGAGAAGTATGAGGGCAAAATGTCTCCGTCTGTGCGTGCGTCTCTCCCTGTTGGAGCCGTAGGAGAAGCATGAATCAGGCTTTAGTCTCAAACAAACTGAAAATACTCCTCTAAGTGCCAAGTTTACTCAGCAATTTGCTGACTTTGAAGCCCAGAAATTGAGATTTTTCAACCACTCTGTAGTCTGTTCAGGGCTGACATGGAAAGCTTATCAACCCACTTCCAGCCGGAGGTGACTGAACTCCAGTTTAGCAACACGCTCAGAGTCTGACTCTATGGCTGTTGCAGTTTTTATCCGTCCTCCTGGACACACCGACCCAACTCCAGCCTTGGCTGCTCAGATTCTCTCCATGTTCAGCTGCCTAAGTCACGATTATCTACTTCCGCCTGGGTCCCCGGAAGAACGAAAAAGTGAATGCAAATCAACAGGGCTAAAAATGCTATTTTCTAATTCCACTTGTTTTGTGTTATGGATTTCACATATGATGTGTGTGAATGTTAAAGACACATTTGGATACAAAGAATGCACTTGTTTTCGAACGGGGGAATGCCATTTTAGGTTTTGTGTAAAAATAAGTCCAGGGGTCTCATTTATTAAACATTGCATAGAATCCTTACTTACTTAAGCTCAGCAAAAAAAAAAGTCCTTATGCCAAGTAGGTTTGTGATCTATCAAACATGGAGTACGCACAGATGCACGCAATCTCCGCTTCATGAAGCAGAAACATTCTAGAAACGTTCTCAGCTGCTTTTTAGTCACATCTCGCCCTCACCACTCCCACCTACTGCCATAAATAGTCAATGCAAAGTGCCTTGTGGATCTCATGCATATACATAAGCCGGCTGTTGCAGCATTTCGATCACGACCGCAGATCAAGGAAATGCTATTTCACAAGCAGAAATTCAGGTACTTGTGGGTGAGGTGGAGAAATGAAAGGAATTGCTTTTACAAAAAAATAAGAGAAAATCCACGGAGTGGCACAGCGTTGCTGAAGCCGTCAATGCTGAGTTCTTCAGAGAGAGCTGTGGCGGATATAAAAAAAAAATGGTCCAATCGGGATTCAATCCCCAGACTCCAGTCAGCCAAACGGAGATCTCCCTTGTCCTAGTAGCCAGGGCACATGAACAATTGGGTCACAGTGACAGGACACACACTGTCACAGACGCATGACATTCTGTCTCAATCTGTCCCCCTGCTGATTTTCTGCATTCCGTATTCTGTGCTTCAGGCTGTGTGTGTGCGCGCGCATGTGTGTGTGTGTGTGTGTGTGTGCGCGCACGTGCGTGTTTGTGCGTGTGGGGGGTCTTGATCTGTGTGAAAACGAAGCAGTACAAGTGATGATGCTGCTGGATTTCATAATTTTATCCTTAGCAGCAGCACTGCAGATGCACTCCATGTCCAACATGTGCGTAAACCAGGTCCTTAAGCCGGGCGTACACTGCGCGACTTTTTCACTCGCAGCGTTCAGCTTCAGCTCAAACTGTACGACTTCCTCGCAGAGCAGATCTCACGAGTCATGTGCTCACACTGCACGACCCAGTTCTCGGATGCGACCTGACTGCTCACACTGTACATCTGGTAGCAACACGTCAGCCCTAAAAATTTGCTAAAAATAGCAGTTTTTACACAATACGTCAGACTTTTTTGTCTTGTCTTGACTGTTGTCCTTCGGGAGTGCTGCAGGAGGACACACAGGGATTTATGGGGGTTGGATGAGTAAAACGAAATGAAAGTAAATCTGTGTTTTGTGATCAGTTTAATTTGACATGAACACGACAAACACGCTTTCTTGACAATCTTTGTGAGTAAAAAAAACGTGTAGAAACAAAAACGAACAACGTGTGTTATTAGGGAAATAGCGAGCGAGCGGCGCTGATGCAGGATTGCGCATGCGCCGTGAGCGGTTCTGATACTTTTTGGGTCACAGCTGCTCGCAGCGCCGCTTCAACAGTGCGATACCCTCACGAGGGACGAGCGAAATATTAAACACGCCAGAAGTCCGTGCGACCTCACGACTGCTGATCGGCAGCTGGTCACGTGGTGTTAATCGCCTCTCGTAACCCCCTGTACACTACTTGACCGCTCGGCGCACAACTCGCCCCGATGTCGTGGATTCTCGCACGACTGGAAAATCGGCTCAAAAAAGTGAAAAGGTCGCACAGTGTACACCCGTCTTTAGTCAACTTAAAGTTGCGCACATTTTTCCACTAAGCTTTCTTTCATAAATCCCAAAGTTTGCGTGGAAAATTGCTTACGCAGTTTTCCGACCCCATTTTGTGCGTAAGAAAGCTTGATAAATGAGGCCCCAGGACTACAAATGCACTTCACGAAAGTGACGTCATTGAACCAAACACGTAGAAAACTGAGGGAAAATGGCTGTAAATTCAGTGAACTTCCCACAGGAGGAAAGAACCACCATGAATCTGGTCATTTGGTAAGTAGCAGCTACGTTAGGGGAGAGAGATGTTGTGGTGAGACCACATATGCAACATGCCAATTTCTGGTGTGTAGTCATGCTAATTACGAACTTTTAAAAGCTGATAAATCTCAAAGTACGTGACAGGCATGGTTAAAACACCCATCATTACTTTTCATTTAAATTGCAGTACACCATATGTGTGATCCAGGGCAAAGCGGATTAAAAAATAATGTTTTTAGCCCCGCTGACTTGCATTAACTTTTTCATTCTTCCAGGGACCCATGAGCCGGCCGGAAAGGGGGGGAGGCGACTTATCCTGGTTTCACACTGCAAGCATCAGTAGAACGGAACAGCAGTGGAGCGGCTCACTCGTGAACTTCAAAACGGTCCATTTCACACCGGGAGTCTTGGCCGCGGCACGGCTTCCTTGCTGCGCCTCGCTATACTTGCAAGATTCTAAAATCCCTCGAGACTTCTGACACCTTCCTCATCAAGAGATCACAACCTCCGTGAGGAATCACACCGTTGCACTTCTCGAAAGAAACTGGTGGTAAACAAAGCCGTTAGGTCACACGTACTGACGTAAGTTATACATAACATTGCAATGTTGCATTTAATTTAGAAAATAACCGGGGGTTTTACACTGAAACTGTGTGGTTTCCTGTCTCGCACTATGTGAACTGCGGAAATTGACCTGTCCCAGAAGCAGCTCGCGGAAAAAATAGAACTCGATCCTATCTTGCGCAGCGCGGCATGCCGCTTCTGGGACGCGCCTGGAAATTGCCGCAGCGGGGCTGGTTTGAAACATTCCATAGACTATAATTAGATTCTATTTGAAGCGGTACCGCTTCGCTGCCGTTCCGTTCCGCTGTTGCTTGCAGTGTGAAACCGGGGTTAGGCTCCCTATAGCTGTGTGAGCAACTGTTGTCTGTGGCCCAATCTCAATACTCGCTCAGCGGACTTGAAGAAAGTGCACTGTAAGGCTTCGAGTGCATAGTACACAAGTGTGCAAATAATTGCACAATTGAGACAGGGAGCATTGCGTCATCGATCGCAACGCATGCAGAGATGCTGGTTGCTGTGATACTTTATTCAAAAACATTTACAGTATTAACAACTTTTAAACAAACAGCCAAACAGTTAGTTGAATTAAATTTACATTTATTGCTGCTTTGTCTAAACGTTTTAGAACAGTGGTCCTCAATGGGTGGCCCGCAGGCCCCCTCTTTGTGGCCCCCGAGCACCCCTACCCCCACCCCCAGGCAAACGGGAGGGGTGCTGACACATAGAAGGCTGGTGTAATGAACGACCAGCAGCAACATTTTCTCCTGCAGCAATGTCTTGTGGATAATTCATTTGCCCGGATTATTTTGTTTTCATGCACTTTTTCTGCTCCAAAGCATGAAAGTTAATAGACGAGATATTTTCACATAATTGCTCATTTTTGGTTTTTGTTGTTGGCGTGTAAAAAAAAAAAAACATTAAACTTACTCTAAAACAGGAACCAGAAAGGCAACTGATAGAAGAATAGAATAGAAAATCCTTTTATTGTCCCTCAGTGGGGAAACTTTGGTGTCACATCAGCATCACACCCCTGATCTACTATATAACACGTATGGTAAAATGAACAATTAAGAGATAACTTTTTAATTTAATCTGAATTCCACAGATCGGTTGGGGGGGGGGGGGGGTCGACTCCGACCATAGAATAATTGGAGCTGCTGACTTGCAATTTACTACTCTTGGCTTCTTCTTTTCTAGCCTGCTGCATAACTGAGATTTTCTCCTGTCACATGCCCATTTCAAACATTTCTTTTCACAAAGCTCACAATAGGTCGTTGGAAGATCCCTGCGGCTGCAAGTGTTTGACATTATCATCTAAAAGACAGCAAATGTGTAAACAGCCACAGCTGGTGCCGTCTGAAGGACATTATATGACCATCAGGCTGCTTCTGTTCAACATTCAGGAAAACGCTGGTGAGGGTGATGATTTGAATTTCGGCAGGAGGGGGAAAATAAATAAAAAAAATATTTAATAAGCTTTTCAATAAAAAAAAAGTTTAAAAATGCGTTTGAAATGGATCGACAGGGAGCAATAAGCAGCTCAACGATAGTTTAAGAATATTAAAAAGCTGCAATAAACTTCCAAAAACAAATGAAGGTTTGGTCCATGGAGATTAAACGTGTATGTAATAAAATATAACTTACATTCAGCTGCATGAAAGATGAGGCGATCCTCAGTTTGTTGCGGTCAGCAAATGAGTTGAATTAAAGTTCGAACCCTTGAAGCTCACCCCGCCCGACCCGAGGACTGCTCCACGAAACCAGAAACCAAACAACAAATTCACTCTGGAAAAGCTTGGTAACTTCCCCAAATTCGCTTGGCTGAAGCCCCTCCCATTCACCATGGTAACACATGATGCTGGACAACAAACCTGCGCGGCTACTGCCTTTGGGCGCTGATGAGCTGTGGCACCGCCATTTTGGATAGGTCGCCCCCACCTCCCACTGACGAACCGATTTTGATGCGGTTAGTTTCTCTGCACACTTCACACATGTAGCTATAACACAGGACCTATGTTTTAGTGTTTTTAACTATAATAGGTTTCCTCTGGGTACATATAGGACGCTAGTCCAGTGCTTATCAAAACTTATAGGAAAAAGGACAAGTCACTAAAAATGACAATGAGAATCAAACTAATTAAAAAGGACCATGCACCAGGTGTATGAGATCTAAGGTAAGTATTTGTTTCTTAAAAACAATTTTATGTTGGAGAAATAGGAAGTACGTAGCCTGGCCCATAGATATGTATATATAAACACTAGATGCCTTGTCCCCACTGTTGGCCAATGGGATGCGACGTAGGAATGTGGGGGCCATCTTACCTCAGACAGCTGCCCCCTTTCTTGACAGTGGGGTGTATTGTGCATGCACTATTTAAATAACTGTAACTTGCTCAATTTTCAACCGATTTTCAAAAGGTTTGATTTGTTATAAACGCCAGAGATGTGTCCGGGACACATGGTAAACAATTAAGTCACTTTCAAAAGCAAAAGCGTTAATTTCAACACGTGCAAGTATGTTGTCTCAAGCCCATGTGTTCTAAGGTTTGTAATAAGGCAAACCACTTGTAAATTCGTTAATATTTCATCGAGTTACGGGTGTTTTTGTTTAAGCTGATCACTCACCTTCCAGCTGCTACCATTGAGAGCGGAGGGGTCTGTTGTTTGAGGTAAGATGGCCGCCGTTTAGCTATGCCCTCGACTCCTGCTTTCGCCATCTAGTGTTTATATATATATCTGTGTGCCAGACTGCACAGAGAAAGGGTCTGGGAACTCTCCTATTCAATAACCCCACCCCCTGAGAATTCTAACTGAGCCAATCAGCGCTGAGTGGCGTACGTCACACACCACAACGCTGAGTTTGTTAGAAACATGGTGACTGAAGTGGAGTTCGCTGCGGCTCTTTCCTCTGTTCTAAATTACTTGAATGTGTCTTTAAAACCAAAACAAGTAGAAACGCCAAAAGCCTTTCTTCAAAAGAAAGATGTTTGCTCCGTCGCCAGACGTCATTTTTGACTACAGCGTCCCAGACGTCACACACAGCGACGCTCAGTTTCTCATAAACAACAAAGACAACGGTGGAGTTCGCTGCGGCTATTTCCTCTGTTCTAAGGCCCTGTCTACACGTAGCCAGGGATCTGCCAAAACGTAGATCTTTTTCTACGTTTTGGCCTGTCATCCACACGAAAATGGAGTTTTTTCACACGAAAACAGATCTTTTTAAAAACTCCGGCCAAAGTGAAGATCTGCGTTTTCTCCGTTTTGGGTGTCTGTGTGTGGACAGACAAAACCGGAGTTTTAAGGTCCGCAACGTCACTTTCCGCAACAAAAAAAAAATGCTGACATCACGTGTGCGACCTGTGTTTACACTAGCCGACAGCACGAATGCCCTCAGAGCTGCGCTCGCTTTATCAATTGTCCAAGCGCTTTTTGCTTGTTTGTTTTTGCAAGCGGAATTACTGCTCCTTGCAGAAGACCACAGACGAAGGACGAGGTTAAGAACGGGGGAAGTACTGCCGCCTACAGGTCTGGCATGTCCTTAACAACGTATTTATCCAGGTACGTGTGAACGGAGTTTTTTTTTTTTTAAAGAGGTGGTGTGGATGCAAGTTTTTGGAGGGGCGGATATTCGTTTTTAAAAAGACCCGGCTACGTGTGGACTAGGCCTAAATGACTTGAATGTCTTTAAAACCACAACAAGTAGAAGTGCTAAAAGCATTTCTTCTAAAAAATAAATAAGATGTTTGCGTTGTTGCCAGACGCCATTTTTTACTACAGCTACAAAACTACAGTGGTACCGTCAACATTTCCGTCTTTTTTTTGATTGGTTATTTTGAGCTGCCTAGTCCCGCCCCTCATGCGCCTCTCTGCCTGTGAGTAACCAGACTCGACAAGTCTGGCAGGCCAGGCCTGGAAGTACTACTCAACCATTTTAATAAATAACTAATATACACAATATAATTCTTGTAGATAATGAAATAAATGAGTTTTTGCTGTTACTGTTGTTGGAGCAGAATGCGTCGCTGCATTCTGGACCATTTGAAGAGGTCTCACAGTACTGGCTGGAAGACCAGTTAGAAGGACATTGCAGTAGTTAAGGTGGGAGATGACAGTAGATTGCACTAGGAACTGGCTGGGTGGCATATTGTGCTAGGTATGGTCTGATCCTTTGTTTGTTATACAGCGCAAAACGGCATGAACGAGTGACAGAGGCAAGATGACCTTTAAAAGGTCAGCTAGCCATCCATCACAACACCCACATTTTGAACTGCCTTTAAAGGGAATGATTTTGGATTGAGATATTGTGCCATTTGGATGGTTTTGCAGGGATGACAAATAATTCAATTAGAGAGGTTGAGTTGGAGATGTTGAGCTGCTAATAATCCTCCGTTATAGTCTCAGTCCTTAAAAAGCCAATGATCACTGGACTAAAGGACTACACACCTGTTGAGCTGACATCAGTAGTCATTAAATTATTCGAGGACCTGATTCTGTCCGACCACAGAGAAATCACAACCTCCGCCAACTGGACCCCATGCAGTTTGCCCATGTTAATATTCGTCCATGGTAGGTTCTGTGTGTTCTCTAATTAAACACAACTCGAGTGCATTTGTGCTAGTCAGTGATCGATTTGTGAGCTGGTTTTGGGTTCAATTTTTAGTGCACGCTGCTGTAGAGGAGCACAGGGGACGGGGGTGGATACCAGATGAGAAACAGCAACTGTCAAGTACTGATGAAGATGATCAGACTCGTCTGCTTTTAGGGACAGAGAGAAATAACTTGTAACAACATTTTGCTGCTGTGTCAGAAGTTATGGCTAAACTTTATTTTTCCCTTCCACGGGCCAGGGTGACGTTAATGTTACGGCTACCAGATGAGCCCCCATTTATGTTACGTCACCGATATGTGTTGTTAAATTGTGAAGGGGGGCAACATAAGAAATACGACAATGGAGTTAAAATGGGTTTAATTGTTATAAAAGGCTCTAAAAACAAGTGCAAACAGATGGCGAGCAGTTTTAAAATAATGCAAAAAGAAAATTTCAATATAAGGTTAACAGTTAAAAGACAACTTATCAACTATATAAAACACCTGGTTAAAAGTATTAAAAGTTTTACCTAAACTGAAGGTGTTTTAAAAACACAACAAAGTTGATAAAAGTCTAAAAACTAAAGCAGAGTTAACCTTAAAACAGAGTCAACTAAGTTGACATCAACCAAAGATCCCTATGGATCACTGAGAGTTTTTTTTTTCCTTTAAACTCCTCAACTCAGAGTTAAAACTTTCAAAGTTAAAACTCACCACAAACGATGGGGTTGAAAACAAAATGAGGCCTGGAGGACAGCAGAACCCCTGCACTGCTGAAAGCACAGCCTTTTTTTATCCCAGGTGTGGGTCATGAGGAGGATTCCGTTCAGCTGTGCTCCTCAGCAGCCTGGGAGAGAGGAGGAGGAGGGGCGATGTCAGGCTGATCACCAGGGCTGGGTGATCCTGGCTCCTGCATCCCAATGGCCGGCTGGTAGCCGTAACAGTCAATTTCAACTTTAACCTTCTGAGACACGAATTTGTATTTGGTGGGATTTAAAAGAAAAGAAAAAACAGTTCTAGCTATTACTAATTAGTCGACTCATAAATGTGAACAAAATACTACTTAGATAAAAATAAATTTTAATATAAATGGTGACAACTTTTGGCAAAAAAGAAAATGTTTACACCTAAAATCAATATAAATAGCTGTTAGTGATAATAATAATAATAATAATAATAATAATAATAATAATAATAATAATAATAATAATGAGTTCCAATTTGTTGATGTTTTTTAAATGATAACTTAAATCATTTTTAAAGCACACATTTTATTTGGTCAATTAGAAACAATATCATTGCAATTCAATAACCTGCCATAATGCACTAGAAATGACATCTTCCTCACTAATTTATTCATCAGTATCAGTACCCTGCTCCCTTCTCTTCTAGATCAGATCCATTTTCAATCATCCCAGCACTTTTCACAATAGTATATATATTTTTTTATTCTTCAATTTCGGGGTGGGGGGTGGGGGGGGGTGGGGGGGTGGTGGTGGTGGTAAAGTAACACTTTCCCCGGGGCCCAGCTCAAACTTGCTACGCCACTGCTTTCACCTCTAATTAAATGAAGATAAGCATTAATTTAAAGTCCTTTTTATGAGTAATGTTTACACCAGTTTCAGTCCATCAAAAACCAAAACAAATATCAAAATCACCTTTTTTTAAAAGAAAGAAAAATCACAATACTTACAGGAACATGGTTTACATTTGCACAGAAAACATATTTGCACAGCTCAAGGATTCAAGGAATTTTAAAGTGATGTGCATTTGCTGCATCCCCCAGTCTTCTGTGCTGATTTCCCAAAATGTCACAGAAACAATGTTTACAAATTCACACAAAACACTTTTACATATTTACAATAACACTGAGTGTATAATTCATCATCCATCACTGTCACTCACTCTAAGAGCTGTAGTCAGAGGCAGCTTATTTGTTGCCTTCGGCACAGGCATATATCTGTGCATGACAGCTCTGCTGATAGACAGCAACACCTTCCTGTCTCACATGTGCCTTTCTTGCAACTACAGTGAACTACCTGCATTACACTGTCAGGGGAAGGATTTCTACTCATCCAGGTAACAGTCAGACTACCAGCAGGTGAGGGGACACATTTTAACTTTCAGGGCTGACCTCATTATGGTTGCTTGGTAGTTTTCCCGTTTGGAGTTGATACAGGGCATCATTTGCAGGGATGATGGACAATTCTGGCAAAACCGATGATGCCATGCAGAATGCGTTGCATTTGGCTTCATTTACATTTTGAACAGATGGTTGGTCATACCAGTAGCATACATGTTTGCAAAGTGGTGCAAAAGTGGATGCGTCCAGGTTATGTGACAGTGTGAGCGTCCTGTCACTGTGACCCGATTGATCACGCGCCCTGGCTACTTAGCCAAGGGGATATCCCTTTGGCTGACTGGTTAGCGTGCGTGACTCTCGCGCGGGAGCCCGGGGATCGAATCCCACCTGGGACCCCATTTCTCCACCTTGCCACACTTGGCATTGTTGGCAGAATGCTCCATAGGTCACTGGTGTAATCTGATTTAATGTTATTGTATTTTTTTTAATTGAAATTGTTGGATTTTTATTGTTTTTTTTAACATATATTTTTTAACAGGTGAAACAACAGCTGTGTCCAAAAGATCAACTGTGCTCACATATTTGCCATATTTGTGTCACCCACCTCACACTCGGTGACTGCTGGGGATAAACACCAGTTCTCCATGACCCTAGTGAGGAATCATTGGTTAAGATAATGAATCGGTGAGTTAGCACAGTTTTTTAGGGCAGTATGGTTAATATGAGACAATGTGTGGTAAAATTTGAAAAAATGTCAACATTAAAGGGGCCATATCACGGGAAATCCACTTTTTGGAGCTTTTTAGCATATTACATTGCTGTTTCTTCATGAAAAATACCCCCAAACCAGTTTTTGGCTGCATTCATGCATTTTCCTGTTTCAGCTACAAGTTTTACGTTTTATTTTGAAATTCCTGAAAAGTCGAAATTTGAAGTTTTTATGTAATACCTCCTTCCAGGCCCTGCTCCTCCCTTGAATTTGGTCTACGTTCTGAAACACGCTTTCCATGGCCAGCGTAGGATATGTAGCTTAGGTCATTTCTAAGCAGCATTTTAGTTGATTAACTCTGCACACCTCACATTGACTCACACGGGCTAAATAAAAAATAAAGAAAAGAAAACATATTAGTCTTTATATTTTATACTGTTTACTAACAAAGGTTGAAAACATCATACTGACAAGTGTAGCTAAAAAAAAAAAAAGAATAAAAGTTGGTGCCATGATATGAACCTGCACAACACTGTATCCCAACCCAGGACTCTATAATCACTGCACCACCAAGTCTGCCATCTGACAGCCTTCACCAAATCAAAGATGTTAAGAAAAACAAGAATATTTTGCAGAAAATAATCAATAAAACAAAAATTTAAATACATGAAATCTGTTTCAGCTGGCTACGTAAATTACTGCAGACATCACCGGCGGTCGAACCCATGTCAGCACATAGCACAACAGAGTTAATAGGCAGACATTTAACCTCTGGAATATCAGTCACACTTGTAGGCACATTTTGTGAGGGAGGCCAAGCTTCGATTGTAGCCACAGCCACAAGGGCGTGCCTGAAGCCACAAATGGCTGTGACTGCCATCCCGTAGCTATGAGAACAGCCAATGGCTATACCTATGAATTGCTGTGAATGCACCCACTGCCTGGATGGACTCCTTTGTGTTAAAGGTTTAGCGATATAGGTCAACACATAACTGAGAAGCATTGTTTTGGCAGTTTGTAAGTACTGTAATTAAAATATTCGTATTTGAAACTTTGTTCATATTTTACCATACCATACCACCTTTATTTCTATAGCACATTTAAAAAACGACATGTGAGCCGACCAAAGTGCTGCACAAAACAATCATGAAACAACATCACACTACAGGTAAGAACAATCTGTAAAGCACAATAAAAGAGTCATTACCCAAAAGCCTCTTTGTACAAGTGAGTCTTCAGCCGAGATTTAAAAACAGCAATGCATGAAGACTACCTAATAGAAAGGGGTAGTGCATTCCAAAACACTGGGGCGACATACACAAAAGCTCGCTCCCTCCTAGTTTTATATTCATGGGCAGAATACAGATCAGTCAGCAGTCAGTTGACTTCAGTGAGTGAGCTGGTTTAAGCAGATCCGATAAATAAGTTGGAGCAAGACCATTTAAGGCCTTAAACACAAAAAGCAGAATTTTAAATCTCACCCGAATGTTACTGGAAACCAATGTAAATGTTCCAGAACCGGGGTGATGTGACCGCGTCTATTTGCGTTTGTTAGGAACTGTGCTGCCGCATTCTGTACTAACTGCAGCCAGCTCAAGGCTGAAACTGCAGTACCACTGAGAAGTGCATTAGCATACTCCAGGCGGGAGGTGATGAAGGTGTGAATAACAGATTCCAGATGTGATCGTTTCAGAATCAGCTTCAAGGGAGTTAGGCGGCGTAGTTGGAAAAAATACACAATCTTATCACCACATTTATCTGATGGAACCCACTGTCCAAATTCACTTGAGGTACAACCCTAACCCTAACCCTGCCAGGTAAGAGTGAAACCAGTCCAGAATAGAACCTGTAAGACCAACCCATGTTTCAAGGCGATCCAAAAGGATGAGGTGGTCAATGGTATCAAAAGCTGCTGACAGATCCAGTAACAGCAGGAGCACATGAGAACATGAATCAGACGCAACCAAACTATCATTTAGCACACAAATAAGAGCAGATTCTGTGCTATGGTGCTGTCTAAAAGCCGATTGATTCATATCAAAGAGCAAATTATTCTCCATGTGAGTTACGATTTGAGAGTGAACAATTTTCTCCAAAACCTTCAATAAAAATGGGACTTTGGAAATTGGGCATAAGTTGTCATAGTTTAAATTGTCCAAGCCAGGCTTCTTCCAAACCGGCTGTACAACCGTTTTTTTGAAGGTCAGGAAAAACTCCAGTAGTGATGCTGGCGTTCACGATTGTCAGAATGGCTGGACCCAGAACTGGAAGAAGGTCACGCATAAGCTTTGGTGGAGAAGAATCCACAGGAGAACCAGCAGGTTTTAAGAAACTAATTGGTTCCTCAAGGTCAAAATTAGAGAGAGCAGGTGGAGCTGGTGATTCCACGAGGCAGGCATGTTTTAGGGGAAGAAGGCAAAGTCTAATGTCAGCAATTTTGTGATAGAAGCATTTCTGAGGCTCAGTACAGAGTGAAACAGAAGGAGTAAGACCATCCGAAGCAGTTAACAACAAAACAGAGTTTATAGCACTATACAATCTTGACTGATCCCCTTGATATTGTACGATGATATCAGAGAAATATTTATTTCGAGCATATCGAACCACCTTCTGATAATGAGACTCTGTAAAAAGTTGTTGGGAAATAGCCTGTCCTTTCTTCACCTTCGGTCCAGAGTCCTGCACTGCCATCTAAGGCTGCGAGTTTCATCATTCAGCCATGTATCTCCGAGATAGTCGTTTTCCGTCAAAGTCTGAGAGGAGCAAATGTGTCCAAGGCAGCAGAACAAGCATTAATAGAGTTTAAAGAATGTAGACGCACATAAACATCCTCTGAAGAATCAGAGGTAAAAAAGGAGTCAACTTTGAGAACAGATAGCAGCTGGGCAGACATAGCAGGAGAGATAAACGTAGAACAGCGAGGTGCCTGCTTCCTAGCTTTATATGCTCCCTCTTGGTGGTGTCATCAGGAGATACAGGGTGAATTTCCACAGTTACGCTGATGATACACAGTTGTACATCTCCGTGTCTCCTAATGACACACAGCCAATGGATGCACTGTTTAACTGCATTTTAGACATTGAAACCTAGATGGCAGAAACTTTCTCCAGCTCAACTAGGACAAAACTGAAGTTTTAATCATCGGTCCTGAGGCCCAGAGAGAGAAAATTTTGTCTAAACGACAATCTTTGTCTTTTAACCCTTCTTTACAAGTCGAGAACCTGAGCGTGATTTTCAACTCTGAGCTGACTTTTATCCTACACATTAAAAACATCACTAAAATAGGCGTTTATCATCTAAAGAATATTGCCAGAGTCCACCCCATTCTCTCTCGGACCAATAGGGAGACGCTGATGCCTGCTTTTATCACCAGTGGAATAGACTACTGTAACGTCCTGCTTTCTGGTCTTCCCAAAAAGAGCATCTCAGGCTTACAACTTTTACAAAACTCTGCAGCACGTGTCCTGATGAAGACCAGGAGGCGGGAGCACACACACCAGTTTTAGAATCACTGTGTATGCTCCCTGTATGTTTCAGGATCGATTTTAAGGTTCTCTTAATGGTTTTTAAGTCTCTTAATGGTCTTGGGCCTTCTTATCTTTCAGAACTGCTTTTACCTTACGAACCCTCGCGGCCTCTGCGCTCCTCTGACAGCCGTCTCCTTGTGGTCCCCAAAGTCCGGACGCACACCCATGGTGAGACATCTTTCCAGTATTATGGCCCTCGTCTCTGGAACAGGCTGCCAGAGGACCTCAGGGTCGTAGAGAATGTTCATGTTTTTAAGAGCAGGCTTAAGACTCACCTTTTTAGCTTAGCTTTTACCGATATCTGTTTTTGGCTGCATTTACTGTTTTATTAATGAACGTATTTATTTATAATTGTCATTTTAGTGGTATTAGACATTTATGTTTTAGTGTTTGACTATCTCTTTAATCAGTGTTATATGTTATTTTACTATCCATATTAGGTATAATTATTATTATTAATATTATTATTTATTTATTGTCATTTTACTTATTTTAATCATACCAGTGTTTCCTCTGTGGGGCCCTCTGCCTCGGGGGTGGTGGTTGACTGTGGTGGCCTGAGTCTGCTTAGGCGGTGGTGTTTTTTTTTTTTTTTTTGCCCTTTCTCCCTGGGCACCCTGGGTTGGTGCCTTGGCTGCTGCCATCAATCAACTACTGCCGAGCAGATGGCTCACCTGATGGTGTTTCATTCATTACCTAACCCATCTGAACTCAGCCTAGTGTTTACTTATGCTGTTTTTTAGTTTGTGTGTGTGTGTGTGTGTGTGTGTGTGTGTGTGTGTGTGTCAAAGGGGTTGTGGGATGTGGGGTGTAACTGACACAAATGTTTATATATTTGTGGGGAAGGATGGGAATATGGGTTATATTGGGTCATTTAAATCTGTTAAGCACTTTGAGCTGCATTTTCTTTTGCATAAAAAGTGCTATGCAAACAAAGTTTGATTGACCGACTGATAGCTCCAGGCAATGAACCAGAAATATTAAACATAACAGAAGAATGGTCAGAAAAAACCTACAGGATTTGTGATCTAATTATGCACAGTAATGAAAGTCTTTGTGTACTTATAACTCATGCTCCATCATATTACGCTAACATTACCTGTAGCACAGTAGCTGTGGTCATAGCAGTTAGCTGCTATGCTCATAGCACATTGGCTGTGCCTGTAGCCACTGTGGCTGAAGTTATAAACCACTGTACTATGAGCATGAGTTCAACGTACACCAAAGGCATGCATTAAACATCAAATATGAACAAAGTTTCAAATATGAACATTTTTTTAATTCATAGCTAATATTTTATCATATACTGTGCCTACCTTTTTTCTCAACGGTTTACAATAGCATGATATGGATATAAGATGTAAGATGTACACCTTATTCTAAAATCACAATACTATCTATCTATCTATCTATCTATCTATCTATCTATCTATCTATCTATCTATCTATCTATCTATCTATCTATCTATCTATCTATCTATCTATCTATCTATCTATCTATCTATCTATCTATCTATCTATCTATCTATCTATCTATCTATCTATCTATCTATCTATCTATCTATTTATCTATCTATCTATCTATCTGCTTATTTTACTGCTGTTTAGCATGCTTATTTGGTGTACAGCACTCTAGTAATCTTTGTGATTACAAAAAGCTCTTTAATCATAAAGATGATGATTTATCTGTATTCAATGTAGCACCTTTAATCCAAGTAAAACTGCAGCTCCTTCCCCTACCTATCCCCTACCAATATGGTTGAACTCCTTCCTGTATCAGTGCAACAAGGTGATATGGTCAGTGTGGGGTTGTTTATCACTGTACTGTAGTCTCTGCAGCAGATGTATTCCTACCTCTCAACATTTCCTTTTACCTATTTTTCCTTTTCATTAGACCTTAGCAGCCCCACTCTCTTCAGCACCCTGTCCACATTAGGGATTAGTCTTTCATGGAAGTTCCACAGTCGTTTGTCCACATAAATATGTCCCACATGTGGCGATCCAGCCACACTAGTGTGAATGATCCGGCAGACTTCTAAGGGAACTTTGTATCTCTGTCCAAATTTCTTGAGCACTTCATGGACTGACGTCTGCTCCACCATTCTGTGATGTAAACACACAAAGAAAGTGTACAGAAATTCGTATTTTGAATTGAAATGTGTTATACAGAACACACTTAAACTTGATTTTCAAGCCAAGCTTTGCTGTATGATCACCCAGAATATATAAAAAGAATGAATATTTGGAGATTTTTAATTGAATTTTGAAGGGATCCCATTTCTGTAACTTATCTGAACGTAAGTGGAGATAACAGGCCCTGGAGGGAAACCCAGATGTCCCTATCCACAGCAACACTCTTCACCTCTCCCTGAAGTTGTAGGTCCTCAAGTGAGTTCCAGGAAAACCTACAGATTTGGGTGTCCTGGATAATCCAGATTCGATGCTAAAACAATGCCAGTGGACTTCGTTCAGACTAAGTCTGCTGCCTAGTGGACAGAACATCTTGCCATTTCTCAAAGATTGGGTTCACTGAAGCAGCTTAGAACCAGGACTTCATTCTTCAGTAATTCTAACGGATACTCACCCTGGCAGCTTCACACTGGTCCTGGAAGGCCGGTATCCAGCAGGTTTTGTGATTTTTCTGCTCCAACAGACTTGATTCAGTGGTTAAAACACCTGTGTAGCAGTTCGCCAGGCTCTGCAGAAGCCTATTAATTATCTGTTCATTGAAATCAGGTGTGTTGAAACAGAGTTCAAACTAAAACATGCAGGATACTGGCCCTCCAGGACCAGGATTGGGCACCCCTGCACTAGATTGAAGTCTCTCAGTCCAATTTTAAAGACCAAGTTTACTTGACTTTTTTCCAATACAATTACAGTCGTCTATAGAATAAATGAATGCCTGGTGTACTGTTCTCTGTGGGGAAAAATGATCTCACATCCCTGCTTCAGGAACCCAAAGTGAATCAGAGAAGAGGTGAGCAGAAAATGACAGAATTTGGAGTCTTATTTCCTGATATTGCAACATCTCACCTCTGATTGGCTAAACGCAATGTGACTACCACTAACTCAGTTTCTTTGCATCATTTATGTTTTATCTCCACATATAACACAAGACTGAAGGATGTCTGCCATTATGTGGAATTGTTAATGCTAACAGTTAGCTTCTACTAGGCAAGACTTGCTCTACTCTCTCCTGGATGCTAAATAAAACAGCCTTCCATCACGAGACAAGATGGGTGAGTCTATGATGCTAAGTTTTACTGATGATGAATTGACTGACTTTTTAAATCCGAGCATTTCCCCAACTATTTTCAATCAGTAGCTGATGCAAGAAATAGAAGTAAAAGTCTATTTTCACGTTTAGCATTTATGTAAAACAGTGACCAATCATATAACTAGGGATGCACTGAAAATTGGGCCACTGAAAATTTTTGGCCGAAAATGACCCAAAAGTGCATTTTTGTTCAAAAGACCAAAATCCCTGAAACAGACCGTCAGGTGAACCCCGTTTTTTGTTTCATCTTGCTTCGACCTCTTGTGACAACTCGCTCTTTGCTTCATAATAATAGTACATTTGTATGGATTTCAAAAGTAAAGCTTTCTCTGTTTTGCAATGCTGTCTTATTACGATTGTTGTTTTAATTCGGGACTAGCTTGTTTTGAGTGTAATGAGAAAGAAGTGAAGCAGCTCTCACTTGATCGACCAATGATAAATTCTAAGAGGATGGTTCTGAGAACTCAGTTCCTAGAACTGCTCTGTTCGACAGAGCCTTATATTAAAGTGGTAATTCTTCAAACCGGACCAAAGAGCTCCAAAGATAAATATAAATTTGGTACATTATCTAACAGAGTTTAGCATTATACAGAAAATATCCACATTATATGATTAAATTACTGATTAAACACCAAAAGATCAAACTGAATAACAATTTAAATGTATTACTAAATGTGTTTCTGTCCCCACCTTGGTTGAACTATCATCTTGTGTGGATGGTAAATTGACCTGTCAGGGTCTTCCCTGTAAATATGCTCCAGAATATTAACTCCTGGTACTTCTCCCCACCTTGGCAGGTGAAACGTCCCGTTTGGATCAAAGTGTCTGTAGGGGAAGCAATGGCTTTCAATGAGGAACTCGCCAACCTACAGAATGCAAACAGGCTTTTTTACAAGGGAAAATAATTCATGGAGTTATCTTTGTTTCTATTGAACACCAATAACTATTTACATTGGGATGCTGCACTTGCAGGGTGTCCATTAGAGACATCAGGTTGTTGTGTTGATATGGCATGATGATCTCATCAATGTCATTCAACAGGACGTAGCGTGAACGCTCCATGGATCTGTAAATGCACTCATTCAGTGTGGTTAGCTGGCCATAGTAGTGGATATCACCTCCAAATTTTGAAGGTTCCCAGCCATGAGATGGGTTCATGTGCTTGTCGATGGGCCAAGGAACTATTTCCAGGAATCCCTCTTGAGCATAACTTTGCAGAAGACGATCAAGTTCGGGGCCACAGCTGGTGTTATAGATCACCACTCTGTTCACTCCAAGCAACCTGGGACAAAAAGACACAAACATCTTGATCACAAAGCTCATCTGAGGAATTTCTTTCCTCAAAGAAAATCTGATGTTACCATTTTATGGTCAAAACTAATTAAGTCATTTTGTTTTGCTTTGTCATCGTTGAAGCACTAGAAATATCCATTTTCTACTCTCTCCTGGACACTAAATCAACAAAAGCTAAGATGAGTCCATGAATGCTAACTTTCAATGTGTGATGTGCTAATGTCACAGGCTTTTCTAATCCAAGTTTCCTCATCCATTTTCCATCAGAAGCTAATGCAGGGAATGGTGAAGAAGATTATTTTCATGTTTAAACTGCATGTTAAACTCGACGTGACCGACCATATTTTAAAAATAACAATTAAGAAAATGGTTTCTCATTGAACTTGGCCTTTAAATAAATATGAACTGACCGGTAAATCTCTGTATTCCAAATGCCAGACCAGTATGATTTCATAAACATAAATCCAGTTTTTAAATATCACATTTTCCCTCATTTTTCTAATGTAAGCCTTATAAACGACACATTAGATGTTTCACTTCACGAATAGCTACAGTGCTCAGCATAAATGAGTATCGGGTACACCCCCTTTCAAAATACAAATTTAATCAATAGCTCAACAAACAATAGAACAATTTCCAGATTTTTCACAAAGCTGTTGTTTAACTCCATAACATGAAATTAAAGTGAATAATATAACTTGGATCCCAAAACCTTCAGTTTTACTAAAACAGTTTGAAGCAAAAATGAATACACCCTAAAACAAAAGACTACTACATCTAGTATTTTGTATGACCACTGTGATTTTCAAGGACAGCACCAAGTCTTCTAGGCATGGAAGGAACAAGTTGGAGACATATTGCTACATCCTTTTTCCATTCTTCAAGAATAACTTCTTTTAGAGCCTGGATGCTGGATGGAGAGTGATGCTCAACTTGCCACTTCAGAATTCCCCACAGGTGTTGGAATGGGTTCAGATCAGGAGACATACTTGGCATTTCAATCGCCTTCACCCTGTTCTTCAGAAATGCAACAGTAGTTTTAGATTAGATAGTTTTGTCGTGTTGGAAAAGTGCACGAAGACCAAGTGCACAGAGTGATGATATCTTCTCTTTCATTATAGAGCAGTACATTGTTGATTTCATGATACCATCAATGAAATGCAGCTCCCCAACACCAGCAGCACTCATGCAGCCCACATAAGGACACCGCCACCTCCATGCTTCACTGTAGGCACCATGCATTTCTCTTCGAAATCCTCACCTTAACAATGCCACACAGTTTTCGAATCAGTCTCATCAGTAGTCTTCATCTCTTTCAGCTTGGGCCCTAGCAAATCCTAAGTAGCTTTTTTATGCATGGGCTTTAGGAGAGGCTTCCTTTGTGGACGATACCCATGCATGCCATTCCTCTGCAGCGTGCGCTGTATGGTGTCACAGAAAACGGTCACTCCAGTCTGGCCTTCTACTGCTTTAGCTAAATGTAGTGAACTTGCACTGTGATTTTCTTCAACCCTTCTCATCAGAAGATACTCCTGTCCAGATGTTAACTTCTGCACATGGCCTGGACGTCTCTGTAAGATGATTGCACTTCCATCTTTCATTCATTTTTTTGGTCACTTTTACTATGGTATTTTGACTCATATGTAAAGCTTTGCCAATATTTTTGTAGTCCTTTCCTTTAGTATTTGGGCTGGAATGGATTTGTTTGGAAAATCACTTTTCTGTCTGTGCAAATGAACAAATCTCGTTTGCAATCAATGGTCCACATTTGTGGGAGTATCGTGTAGTACAGCATCTCATAGAAAATGTTGATTCTTAAAGGAAACTAAAGGTTTTCTGGCAAATGTAGTGGGGTCTACTCATTTATGCTGAGAACTTTATATGTTGAACCAGAAGCACCAAAATAATCTGATGCAACATAGAATAAATGCAAAGTATTTGTAGAAAACTTAAAGGTGTAGATCACTGGTTTAATCGATACATGTGAGGGTGGTCTCTAGTGTAAAGGAATGCCTTGTAAGTCGTACCCGAGGGGGAAAAAATATACCGGTGCGGTGCACAATTTTCATTAACTAGAAGTTACCCTCATCACAGCTGAGCTTCAGATAGCATGTTTTGGAGTCTTAGTTTCTCACATTTAGACATCTCGCCTCAACTTGTTGAACAGCAATGCAACACGGACTTGTAACATGGATGTTTTATCTCCACAAATAACACAAGCCTGGAGGAGTTCTGCTGTGTGGTGAGGTTGCCAATGCTAACAGTGAGCTTAAACTGGTCGGCATGTTTGCTGCAGTTTCTTAAAAACCAAAACAACAGCCTATCCCGTTGTGAGTCAAGATGGGTGAGTCATGAACATTTCAGTGACGGTGTGTCGTAGATCTGTCAGGTTTTTCAAGTCCTAGATTTCCACCATCTATTTAATCTCAGACTCTTTGCAAGAGAGTAAGAGTAGGAGACTATTTTGTATTTCAATGTTCAGCCTGAGGGAAAAACTCAGTGACCAGTTATAATTAAAAAATGGGTTTTCAGTGAACCCCACAGGTTGTACATTTAACACATGACTTTTTTCAGACAATGTCAATGTTTAGGTTTTTACATGTTAAACTTTACTGACCTGTACATCTCCAGAGTCTGTGTAAACTGAAGCACGTTGTTGTAGTCTCCAAACAGAGTTGAAATACAAACCGTGAAGTTAAGCATTTGCCTCCCTATTCTGTTGGTTTTCATGTTTTTTATAAGAATCCAGCTGAGGTCGGAAGCATCCTCTGTACTGGGCTGAGTCGAAAGGGTGACGTGTGAAGCTTCACAGTTTTCAGGTATCGGACACATGACGTCTGTAGCACCAAATGGAAAACCGAAGTGGTCCGTGTGTGGGAAGATATTTGCAGGACTAGTTCCAGTTAAATGGCCGGAACAGCAGAAAAGGCAGTGTAGTGGCTGGATGGAGTTTCTCAGAAACATGCCAATGATGCGTACATCATAACCATTCACTCTCTGGTCGATAAAGGCTGAGACCAGTAGGTGCTTGGTGTTTTTAAGCGGAGTGATGGTCTCCTCTGAGGTCGACAATGGGCAAACAGGTGTAGGCCCACGAGTTGTTGAGTATAACCATGTCTGGCTGAGTGTTCTTGTATTAAACAGGAGCACTAAGGCAGATGTAGTGATGACCATCAGAAAAAGCATCAGTTTCAAACGGCTTCCCATTTGAGCAGAGGATAAAGTAGACAAAAATAACCTGTAGAAAAAACACGAAATCAAAGAAAACAATCACATTAACTCATCAACTGGCAGATCCACAACTTGGTAGACTATGTAAACTTTCTCAAGCATTCACTGAACTTAAAAAAAAAAAAAAACTAAGCAAAAATGTTTTTATTTTTTAATCAGAAGTTAAACATTACTTTTATAATAACAAATTTCAACCTAATTTTTTCCAAATTAAAATGAATTAGGTAAATCTTTGTGCTGAAATCTTTTCCAAGTTTTCTATAAAAATCTAAGCCTTTGGTCTTACCTTTGGTTTAATGCAAAGCCCGGTATTCATCCATGAACTGAGACATTCAATGCAACCTACTGATAATCAAACATGAGAGTTGCTATTATTGCTGCTACTGAAGCTGCTACATTTCCCCACTGTGGGACCAAAGTCTATTCTTTACCAATTCCTCTTATGGCAGAGCTTTTATCTCAAGAAAAAACAGCAAGGCGTCTCTCCCCCTCTCTTAACCCTCTGGAGGCAGGCGTTGCAGATTTGTATCAGTTAAAACCTACCTACCTGGTTACTCCGCATATGTATTTCATGAGTATTTTTTAACTCAGAAGTACCCCTGAAGGACTTAGTTGTTCGTCCTTTTATCAAAACTTATTTTGAGTCTGAGAGGGTTAAAACCTTTGAGAAAATGAATCGATGAGGATGTGTTCCTCTTCTTGTTTTTGCCTCGTGTCCCTGCCTTTACAGTACTCAAACATATTCAAATGCTGTTAAATAAAGCTGCCTTGCCTCACCTTGTCCATAGAATGTTACCTGTCCAGTTGACTTTCTGAGTCTGAACCTCAACTGCCTCTAACCAAGCCTCCCACCTCATCCAGGTCTGTGTCAGAGTTTGGACTTGTCATTAGTTATCCACCTTTGCCTGCTGGACTCGCATTTGTGTGTTTGGTAAATTTCTAATGCGGTTTTACCTGTGTTCAGCACTTTGGGGCTGACTGAAGTTAACTAGAAAGTGCTGTATAAAAAATTGATGATGATGATAAAGAGATGAGAAGCAAAGATAAATGACACACTTACTTTAAAGCTGTTATAGCAAGTTTGAAAACAAATGGGCTTAAAGTGACAGTGTGTAGTTTCTCTGGCGATGGGGGCAGTACTTACCTAAATGATTGCAAGCAAGCATTACTGTTGTGCTCAAGTAAGACCTTACCAACGGATGTCCATTAGGGTCAAAGATCCTTAGGAGCACAACCTCCAGCAAAATAAGAACAGATTCCCTTTCATCACTTGCAACGAGTGAAGATGTAAATGTGTAAAACAATGTTTATTAATGGTGAAAATTTTGTAACCATTTGTTACAAATCAGTAAATGTGTTTTGTCCTCATAGGCTTCTGTAGAAGGAAACATGGCGTTCAATATGGTGTCGCCCAGACTTAAACCCACTCCTGTGTATTTTAGAACAGATTTTTTTTTGGGTTATATGTCATGAAACTGCCAATATTTTTCATCACCTGGGCATCTTTATTCATTTACAACAACATTTTGATGGATATTTCCAGAGATTAATGGTAAAAACTACACATTCCATCCATCCATCCATCCATCCATCCATCCTCGTCCGCTTATCCGGAGTCGGGTCGCGGGGGCAGTAGCCTAAGTCGAGAGGCACAGACTTCCCTCTCCCCATCCACTTGAGGCAGCTCTTCTAGGGGAATCCTAAGGTGTTCCCTGGTCAGCTGAGAGACAATGTCCCTCCAACGTGTCCTGGGTCTCCCTTTAGGCCTCCTCCCGGTTGGACATGCCCGGAACACCTCACCAGGGAGGCGTCCAGGAGGCATCCTGACCAGATGCCTGAGCCATCTCAACTGGCTCCTCTCGATGTGGACATGTCCCCCCACTTTTTAAAATGACACATTTGTTCCCCCCCACATTTAGTCCACCTCGCGCTCCTTCGATCATTCTGAAAGAAATTCATTTATTCATTTATAAAGTACCTCCCTGCTGCCAACCAAGGCAGCCCAAAGCGCTGAACACAGCTGTGTAAAGTTAACAAGGATTAAAATATTAAAGGATACATCATAAGGAGTAAAAAGTACTATATGCATATTCATGTTAAGTACCAAAAACAATAAAACCATAGATAAAATCTTAATTTAGCTAAAAACTACATGCAAACAAAGACTAAAAACCAGGCACATCAGTTAAACAGACACAATCAGTTAAAACAATCAGATTAGAGGCCTAACGGGATGCTATGAGTCTGTAGTGCATTTTTAATTTTGCTTTATAAGCCTCAAGTGTAGTTGTGAGTCTTAGTTCCAGTGGAAGGCCATTCCACAATTTTGCGGCAAAAGCACAAAAAGCTCGATCTCTGCGACTCTTAGACCGTGGAACAACTAGTAGGTTGTTGGCAACAGAGCGCAGTAATCTTGAGGGTGTGTGTGTTTCTGCAGTAGTGATGATAGATAAGGTGGCACAGTTCCTGCTAGTGACTTGAATGTAAATACCGTTCTACTTGATCAATTAGAATTTACTCAGTCTGCTGAAATCCATGTCGTGCTTTCCTGGTTGCTCTGCTCTGGTGCACACATGGAGAGAAGGGTATCACTGCAGACCCGGAGGCCATTCAGGCCGACTGCAGCCATACACTATTGGAGAAGGGTCCATACATGATTGCACATGATTGGGTTGTGTAGCGTAATGGTTGTTGGCTCTTTTATGAAAGATAAACCATTCTACATAATAATCTGGAACATTAATTTTTACAAATTAATAACCAAATGTTATAGAGATAAGAAGACTCAGAGGTTGTTTTCATCGATAAACTGACGATCATATCAGTTTGTCTGTGTTTCAGTTCAAAGAAAAGACAAGTTTAAATATAAAGAGTTTTAATTCTTCAATTTAAACTAACGATTTGAAATGACAATCATAGGAAAAATATCAACATTGGCAACATTGTTAGACAATCTTTAACAGTTGTTATTTTAAGCTTGCACAAATAGACCTTGTGTTGGATGTGCTAAAATTGAGGATGATGGAATTATGAATGCGTGCATGCAGGTGTCTGAGATTGCTTCAGGGAGAGAAAAGGTGAATCTGAGTGAAAAATGATGTTTGCAATTAAACTTTAGTTTTTATTAGAAAAGCTGCATCAGAACGCTATCTGTCGTGTTCTGTCTCACCGACCTTAGGACCCTCTTTAGATCCGGACCGAAGGAGGATGTTTCTCCAGATGCCACCTTGGCTGACAGAGAAGACAAAGGTGTGCGACGGTCCAGTCCAGAGTTGACCTCGGTACACGTTGCTGAAGCGTTCGGCAGATGCACTTTCTCAAGTTTAAATTAACTCAGAAATCATAAGACTTTGGGACGAGTCTGCGTAAGCTGGTTGCATTTCAGCTATTCTGTCTGGCTTGACAGAAATAGCGTGGGGGGGGAGAAAAGAGCCGGAAGGCTCCTTTCCCCATGGCGTTGGTTCCACACTTCCTCTCTCTTTTGTTCTCACTCTCGTTCTGACTAACCTACCAAAATCACTTCTCTTCCCAAAGCAAACTTGTTGTGCGTCAGAGCAAATGTGTTTTTAGTTACTGTGAATACAACCTTGTGTGAGGAAGTGTGAAGGTCATCGCTAAACATCTTCAAAAACATTTAATTAAGCATACTGATTCATTATAGTTCATTATGATTACCCAAAGCATAATAATCATTCATTTGATTAAAATACATTTATAATGAGCAAAGTGATCAAATGATTATTTAACATTAATAAACAAAGAAAAGCTTGAGACTGTTTTATTATGACTAGGCTGTGTGTGAATTCCTTCCTCTGGAGATGAAGGTGTTGGCTGTTGTGAAGTTCTTCAGACTTGCTGGCGGCAAAGGTCTTAATCTGTGGTTGAAGGTGCTGCGTGACCCAGCTTTGACCCAGCCGGGCAAATACGACCTTTGGCACAGAAAACCCATACTTCCTCACGTTACAGTTGTAAAGTAAAAATAAAGACTGAGCTGAAGTCAAACTTCAGTGCTTGGGAAGCTGGAGGAGGAGTCACTCCCAAAATAAGTTGTTTCCATGTATGACCCCCCCACCCAGACATGGACATCACAAAAGAAACAAAGTAACAGGACATGATTTAGTGGAGTTGGCTGGCTAGTCAATGTTATTCAGAAGCAAGGCTATCTGGCTGTTTAAACATTAGGCAGACTGGTCATGTGTTTCTGATCCAATCTGTTCATAGAACAAATTAATGTTCCAGAAAAACAAGAGCTAAACTGAATTCCGACTAGGAGAAACTCATTTTAAACAAGCATAATTCAACTGTTACTTGTAAAATTTCTTATTTTAAATAGATACAATGGAAAAAAAAAACTTCCAGCTATCAATAATTTTATTTGAATATTTGAATTTACATTTAAACTAGAATTATTTTCATTTCAGAACTTCCATCTCATGCTGGAAACCCAATACATGTGAATGGGAAATGTGACACCATTTGTCTTGAGAATAACTATATTTAAAAGATCTCAAGTGTTCATTATGGATAGTAAGAATTATTATAGATATCTGGAAGATAAAAATTTACTTGGAACAACAGATTCAAAGATATCTGGAATATTCATCCAATCTGCCCAATACATGTTGCTTGTTTTCTTTTATTTTAAGGATTTGGGTAGGTCTCTAATCAATGCAGTTGTTAGAAATCATTACATAAGAATTCTGCTACTACCTGCTGATACTGTGTTTTCTATTTGACTAGTAATAATTTTATTAAGACTGGGGTAAATGAAATTGTTGCATTGTAAAATAGGAATATAACAAAGAGGTGTGGTTGTTATTAAATGTTAAAATGGTCATTAAATTTCAGTTCAGTCCTAAGCCACCTGCTGGTATTATTAATAAGAATAAAATAAACACACAATCAACCTTTTATTAGAAGTGTCTGATTTATAGTGTTTTAGTTCTGTCTGCATTAATCAGCTGGAGGCATGTGAACAAATTGTTACTGAGAAATAGTAATCAAGTTAAGGTTTTACTTCTGTAGGTAAAATAGGTGTAACAACCTGTGTAATTACACCAGAATGCTGAAAATGCCACCTACACCATTTTTATTTTTTGTAATATATATTTAGAAAAATTTCTCTATTTTGTTTAATTTACCGCCTGCCTCTTCTGTTTTGGTTTGACTTCCTGCCAGGATTGATGGGGCTGGCAAAAACATAAAAGAGCACATGCCAAAACGATCACTGCTACTACTACTACTTTATTTATATAGCGCCTTCACATGGCCCAAGGACCAAACAAAGCGCTGCACAACAGAAATGAACAAAGAAATAAAAACATGTAAAACCATTTAAAAACCAACAAAAACATGTAGATAAAATCTAGGTGGGGGAGCAAAAAGTGCAAAGCCACCCATTAACGAGAACCCTCTTGAGTAAAAGCCTAAGAATAAAAGTGTGTTTTCAGATGGCTCTTAAAATTGCCGAGTGTGGTGACCTGTTTAACACATGTAGGTAGCTCATTCCAGAGCCTCGGCCCCAGTACAGAGAAAGCACAACCCCCTCGAGATTTTAGTCTGTGTTTGGGAACGACCAGCAGTCCTTGCTGTGCTGACCGAAGGTTCCTTGAGGGAACATAAGGATAGATCAGATCAGATAGATTTCGTGGAGCCAACTCATTTAAACATTTAAAAACTAACACTAGAACTTTAAACAAAATTCTAAAGGAGACTGGAAGCCAGTGTAGGGATGCCAAGACAGGCGTGATGTGTTCAGATCTCCTGGTACCAGTCAGTAACCTGGCTGCCGCATTTTGGATCTTCTGTAGTTTCGCTATGGAGGCCTGCTTGATGCCAGCATAACACGAGTGGATGTAATTAAGGTTAACAAGGGCATCGAATTGAAGCGCTCTCCGTTTCACGGAGCTTCACGGTGCACTTTTGCGCTTCTGCGTCTGATGTGAACCAGGCATTATGGGAAGCAGCAATAGTCGGTGGGATCCGGCTAATCACTGGTATGGCTTGGACTAATTTGTGAAATGCTCTTTAAACCCAGCATAACCTGGTTCAAACCCCAAGTTGGTGAAGGAGTTGTACGTTAAAAAAATACACTAAAATACAAACAGTCAAGCTTCTAAATAATTATTTTAGAAGCTAAGCTAACATTCTGACTCAATGCTAATGCTAAACAATAGCTAAACTACAGCATAAACACTCACTTGCGGCTAATCCAAGTTCCAACTGCTACAAGGCGTGGCTGAGACCGTGATGTGTTTATAACCTACAGTCACAGTGCTGCTACGTAGTACTGTAAGCTACGTTGGACTGTACAGTATCAACCATTGGCTAACACGGATTTAAACCAGCTCAAAATAAATGTGTTCCACCGTTCTGAGCTAAAGATGGCACTGGACTGATTTTTTTTAGGCAGAATTTAGAGTATTTAAAGAAAATGCACCATAATACATGTCCACAACAGTTGTTGCAGGTTTAAACAAATGATGGTTTGGTTCTACCAGTATCGGTAAAAGTTAACATACCAATGCAGTTGCTTGAAAGTGGCTTCACTGCAACTCGTCATTTCTGTTCACCTAATATTTTAGTTTTGTGATAATTTCTATTCATATATGTTACTCGTTATCTGCCTCACAGTCTTTTCCTGATGAAAGCAGAGAAGAAAATAAAAACTTTATTCCAATTCCTAGCATTTTTTGTGTGGTAGGAGTATCGGTAATACGTACCGGCGAATACTCCGATCCAAGTATCGGTATTGTATCAGTTTGGAAAAAAGTAGCATCGTTGCATCCCTAATTTTTTTATTAAGGTTAAAAAGTCCCGTCTTCTCCAGGAGTCTTGCAGCTTGCAGCACCAGATAAGGGAGCAGAAGAGCAACTTTGTTATGACGGTTTCCCAGATGGTGAGCTCATAAACAGAGCATGAGTTCTGGTTTGGAAACCAGACACAGAACCTTTAGCGCACGGATGAAGATGGCTGAGCAGTAGAATGACCTTTGGCATTCCATGGCTTTCTTACACTACACCAATAAATGAATACCTATCACCATCAAAACAAACAAAAACAGAAAAAAACTTAACTGAAATCTCTACCTTGAGAATTGATATGATCCAATGGTGCTGATTAGGCCAAGTAAGGAAATCTGCTACAACTGGACTCCCTCTGTTTGATGCTCAAGCAGCAACTCGTAACTCAAAGACAACCTCTAAACAATTGCGTACAAACCTATGAGAGAAACTGAAAGATACCTGAATGTGTGCTCATCAAGCAGCAATCAAAACAGTTAACCCATAAAAAAATAAACATTCAAACACATTACTAGAAAGACATTCCCTGTGTGACAGGACTTCACCATTTCCAACCCTGAAACCCAAATACTCAGTTTCATGAAGCACAAGTACACATTTAGAGGGGTTCACAGTCAACCCCGTGCCTTGAAGGCAGCTTAGAAATTCTTGTGTTGCAGATTTTCCTAATGATTTACAGAAGAGGACAATTTCTGATGCCACTCTAAGCCAGTGAACCTAAACTAACGGCTCATGGGCCACATCCGGCCCGCCAGATTTTTCCACCCAGCCCCCCAACCCTTTGGGTCTTAATTCAATTCAAATTCAAATTCTATTCAAAAATACTTTATTAATCCCAGAGTGAAATTAGAGTTACAAAACACACAATTCTGAGATCAGACAAACGTACATAGACACATGACAAGAACTGGTGACTGTGGTCATTTGCAAGCCAAGTCATTATACCGTAATAGATCAAGAGGGTTTATATAGCCCCCTTCAGACAAGCCATGAAAAACGGAAATGTTCCGGACTCTGTCCGTAAGACCTTTGTGTCTGAATACAAACATCCGGATAACGTGTTCCGGAATTTAACCGGACGAAGCCCCCTAGTAACAGGTCCGGACTTGTTACGGACAGGGTGGCTGCTTCAGACTGGTGAGGTAGAGTTCCGGACAAAGGGGAGGGGGGAGGGGACCGGGGGACGCTGTGCGCACCTAGATAGCTCGCTCCTGTAGCATGCGGCGAACCACGGCAGCTCGCCTCCTATGGTACCGCCTAGACGCACGACGGAGCGCATCACACCGCTTCAGTGATTCCTTTAACCATTGAGCTTCATCATCCAGGTCTCTTACGCGTCTTCGTGTGCGCAGAATTATGCTTAAGCGCCTCGTGATTTTTATCTTGAGAGGCGCTATAGAAATCATCTTTTCTTCTTCTTAACATAAGTCAGATTCTCAATAGAGATAAGAGGGTTACATTAGGATTGGTTCAGATGGAGGGAAAAAAAGGCACTTCAGAGTTACCCTCCACGGGAGGGCAGCTTTGCTCTGCAAAAAAACACCTCAGACATATATGCAACAGACTTCAGACATTACACAACACAAGTGTCCACTAGGTGGGGTGGTAGGTTGGGACTATCTCCACTTCAGTTCCTGCAGCCACGATAAGCAGCGCATGTCACCTCAGTGTGGATAAGTAGAGGAGCATTGAGGGTTGGAGGGTTGCAGTGACCGTGGAATGTTTCAGCGGCCTTCCCGCAGTCCCGCCCAGGCTGGGATAGGAGACAGAGTTGAGTTGCCATAGCGACGGCACATTCCACATATCTTCTGAGGGGGGAGTTTTCATTGGAGCCTTGCAGGCTCAAGGGCGCCAGATTCCGATTAGAAATTGTTTTGGGGCCAGACAGAGATTATTTACTCTCTGTCTTACAGTTTGTTGGTCCTCAACCTCTAAAAATCCCAATAATGGACATTAAACTATCTCAATCCGTGCCGATTTGTCCACTCTATCCTTGATGGCATCCATCTTCTGTGCCAATTAATGAATCTCGGCCAAAGTTCCAAGCTTACGATTCATCTCGACAATTATGCGAGTGTGAATTCACAACGCGGTGCAATCCATCTCTGAGCTCAGGGATTAGGCCAATATTCCTCAACAGCTCGTTAATTTTCCAGTAAGCCAGGTAGCCTCCAATGCCGATCAGCAGAAAACCCGACACCAACACCACGAATATCCACACATCTTCAGAGTCCTCCACAGACAGCTGGTCTGTCCCGGAGGGGCATCCGGGAGCCTTTTCTCCCGTTCTCATCGTTGAAAAAAAATTGTATCAACCGTGTTGTGTGACCAACTGACGAGATCCATTTTAGTGAATTTCAGTTTCCAGTTTCCAGAAAAAATACAGAAGCAGCCGTGCACCCAGCACACACAGACAGACAAAGGCCTTGAGGACAAGATATGGAGGAGAGGAGAAGAAAAGCGTCTGCACCCTCCAAGAGCCGGAAGAAAATGTGTGCTCATCAAGCAGCAATCAAAACAGTTGTTCTGAGGGGGACACTTTTCACTTCAGCCTCACAGGCTTCAAGGGCACCAGATTCATATAAGAATTGTTTTGGGGACAGACAGAGATTATTTCCTCTCTGCCTTAAAGTTATGTTGGTCTTCAACCCCTCTAGATCCATTAATGGCGTGATTAATCTATCCCAATCCGTGCTGATCAGTCAACTCTCTCCTTGATGGAATCCACCTTTTGGGCCAGAGCCTGAATCTCAGCCAAAGTTCCAAGCTTACAACTCATCTCGACAATTATAGGAGTTTGTGCATTCATAGCGCGATGCATTCCATTCCTCAGCTCCGGGATTGAGCCAATATTCCTAGAAAGCTCGTTAATTTTCCGGCATGCCAGGTAACTGCTCAAGCCAAACAGCAGGAATCCTGACACCAAAACAACGAATATCCAGACATCTTCAGAATCCTCTACAGACAGTTGAGAGAGGCAGATTATGTTCCACTGTTTCCAGGAGTCCATGATATACCCAGCTGGCTCTGTCCCAGAGGGGCATCCGGGAGCCCCTTCTCATCGTTGAAGACATTTTGTCAATCGCACTGAGAAACCAACTGACCAGATCCATTTTTAATAATTTGCAGTTTCCTGAAAAATGCAGAAAGCGCCGTGCACACAAAAACAGGATAGAGAGCCTTGGGATGAGGAGGGAGGGAGAGGAGAGAAAAAAAAAAAAAAAGAGTCTGTACTCTCCAAGAGCCGGAAGAAGAATGCCCCCAAATACAACTAAAACTACAATGAAAACAGTTTAGATGAAAAACAAGCCTTTTTAAATATTAATAAACTAAGATACAAGGCTTAAACTTCATTTTAGAAGAGCATCTGGCCGTGTCGGTGTCTGCTGGAAAAAATTAATAAAATAAACTTTGGCTCTTGAACACATTTAGTTGAGGACCCCTGTTCTAAACTAAGTTAAGAAACTGGAAAAAATGCACATAGCTGTATCAGATCAGGGTAAGAATGGAACTAGCCCAGAAGAGCACAAGTAACAAAGGGATGATTGACCAAACATCAACCTGGGTGGGGGAAACTATTTAGCATCCTGTAGGCACTGCATTTAATGAGCCATCGACACTTTCCCTACGCCTGAACAATGACTGAACGTTGCTTACACCTTACAGCTCAGCATCTTGTTTTAGTACGATTATTTTTTAGTCAGAACGACCTAACCAGTCGGCTTGGTTCAGGTTGAAATTTAAGACTATTACACACTGCAGGGTTACACAATGCAACAGAAAGTGTTTTATGACTTACCTCGAGTCACCCAGTCTCTACCGAACTTTTACTAGTTAACATCTTGTAAAAAAATTATTGTAGATGTTAAAACTAGCCTTTATTCCACACAAAGCACCCAAAATGTCTCAAATAATATTTGTAAAGGAAATAGTTTCTAGCGCTGTTGTCAACATTTATTGTGTTTTAAGAATTGAAATCACCTTCATTCAAATTGCCATAGCAATTGTTAAATAGATGTTTAACAGTCTGTAGGTGTACAATCAAGTTTTAACCTCTTAAGAAAATACCCTGTCCTTTTTTCCCATTAACTTTAATTCTTTATTGTTAGAAACCCCAACTTGCCCAGAACCCTGTCCACATTAGAAATAAGTTTCTCCTGGAAGTCCCACAGTCGTTTGTCCACATTGAGCTGCTCGAGAGTCAATGATCTACGCAGAGCCACACGAACATGAATCAGACGACACACCTCTAACGGGACTCTGTAGGTTTTTCCAAAATACTTGAGCGCTTCATGAACAGAAGTCTGCTCCACCATCCTGCAATGCAGACACACAGAAGTAAGTTTAAAGAAATATGCATGGGCCTAAATGTTATGGTGCATTTACGCTTTGGTCAGCTTGGCCTCGCCCGGGTGGGGACATCTCGCCCCTGCGCGGCCAGGTTGTATTTTCACAGCCTTCTTAAGCCGGGCGTACACTGTGCGACTTTTTCACTCGCAGCGTTCAGCTTCAGCTCAAACTGTACGACTTCCTCGCAGAGCAGATCTCACGAGTCGTGTGCTCACACTGTACGACCCAATTCTCGCATGCGACCTGACTGCTCACACTGTACGTCTGGTAGCAACACGTCGGCCCCAAAATGTGCTAAAAATAGCAGTTTTTACACAACACGTCAGACTTTTTTGTCTTGCCTGTTGTCCTTCGGGAGTGCTGCAGGAGGACACAGGGATTTATGGGGGTTGGATGAGGAAAACGAAATAAAGAAAGTGAATCTGTGTTTTATGATCAGTTTAATTTGACATGAACACGACAAACACGCTTTCTTGACAATCTTTGTGAGTAAAAAAACGTGTAGAAACAAAAACGAACAGCGTGTGTTATTAGGGAAATAGCGAGCAACCGGCCAGCGTTGATGCAGGATTGCGCGCGCATGCGCCGTGAGCGGTTCTGATACTTTTTGGATCGTAGCTGCTCGCAGCGCCGCTTCAACAGTGCGATACCCTCACGAGGGATGAGCGAAATATTAAACACACCAGAAGTCCCTGCGACCTCACGACTGCTGATCGGCGGCTGGTCACGTGGTGTTAATCGCCTCTCGTAACCCCCTGTACACTACACGACCGCTCGGCGCAAAACTCGCCCCGATGTCGTGGCTTCTCGCACGACTGGAAAATCGGCTCAAAAAAGTGAAAAAGTCGCACAGTGTACGCCCGGCTTTAGGAATGCTGACATTGGAAAGTACATAGATGGGAACTACTAAAGTGGTGCAGAGAAGTCAATACTGTCATTCCCAAGTGCCACAAGTAAGTAAACAAAAGTGGGCGTGAGCTGTGTTGCTTTTGGAGACGGACATGAAGCACACAGCTTCCTACCCTTCTCACTGTGCAGTGGTACTGCCGAGGGCACCTCCACCATCCAAGGGCGCTCACGATAGATGGCAAGTCATCATGCTACTGCTGCAGCTCCAGTCCGAGCTGCAGTCAGAAAATATGTTTTATGTTTGTTTATTTATTTAGCAGACGCTTTTATCCAAAGCGACTTACAATTTATAACCTATAGGGCATGTTGTGATCTGTGGGGGAAAACTGGAGTACCCGGAGGAAACCCACGCATGCATGGGGAGAACACGCAACTCCACGCAGAAAGGCCGCAGCAGAGTTTCGAACCTGCAACCTTCGTGCTGCGAGACAACAGTGCTAACCACTGCGCCACCATGCAGCCCATATTTACCCCACTGCATCCACATTGCCAATAAATCCGGCATGCAGGAAGCCACCACTGACCATTTTGATGCAATGGGTCATTTTGATGCAATGACCCTACCAGGAACAGACCAATCAGATTAAAGTGTAAATGCACCATTATTGTACTCATTGAACACTTAATGCTGCCACTGAGTTCTAATACAAAGGATATAGTACTTTTCCATGTTTACTCGCTGCACCTTTAAAAGTACAGTGGGGCAAAAGTTTGTCAGCCACCGATTAAGCAAGTCATCCCACTTAAGATGAAATCTGTAGTCTTCATCATAGATGCACTTTAACTGCGACAAACAAAATGTAAAAGAAAAAAAAATCAGGAAATTCCACTGTATGATTTATTAATTTATTTTTTTAAATAATGGTGCAGAAAAAAAGTCTTTGGTCAATAACAAAAGTTCACCTCAATACTTTTGTGTTCTGGTTGTGCAAACCAGGTAAAGACCTACAGGACATGTTTGACCCTTGTCAAGCTGGTATTTAGGCCTATTCTCCCATGCAAATCTGTTCTACAGCTGTCATGCTTTGGAGCCGTCACTGGGCAACACAGACTTTCAACTCTCTCCACAGATTCTCGATTGGACCGAGATCTGGAGAATGGGTAGGCCACTTCAGAACCTTGAAATGTAGCCACTCCTTTGTTGCACGAGCGGTGTATTTGGGATCATTGTCATGCTAGAAGATCCAGCCATGATTTGCCTTCCGTGCTCTCACAAGGAGTTTATCCCCCCCCCCCCCCCCCCGCCAAAATCTCACAATTTGTGGCCCCATTCATTCTTGCCCTGTGACCTTTGCAGAAAAGCAGCCCCAAAGCATAATATTTCCACCTCCAAGCTTTACAGTGAGTGTGTTTTCTTTGGATTCAACTCAATATTCTTCCCCTTAAATCACAGCAAGTAACATTTTTACAGTAGGGTTCCAATTTGGTCTCATATGACCACGACATTCATCTAATCCTCCTCTGGATCATCAAACTAGCAAACTTTGGATGAGCCTGGACGTGTATTGGCTAAACCAGTGGGACCTTTCGAGCGCTGCAGGGTTTTATTCACGATTCATTATTAATATTAACCCTTGTTATGATGGGTCCAGCTTTCTTCAGGCCATTGACCAGTTCCCCCTGTGTAGTTCTGGGGCCTCATTTAGAACATTTTGCATAGAATCCTTACCAAAACCCTACTTAAGCTCAGCAAAATAAATAAATAAATAAATAAATAAAAGTTAAACAGACTAGTTTTCCAGCTTATAAAACAGTGCTCCACAGTTTCCACTTTCTAAATCATAAATGTCCCAGAAATGTGCTCAGGTGTTTCTGGATCACATCCTGCCTCCTACACATCCACTTTCTACCATAAATGAACAATGCAAACTACATTAGGAATATTGCGCATATAAATAAACCTATCTTTCGACCGGATGCTAGGGTAACCATGACAACTGAAGAAAATCCATGCTCTGGAGCATGACGTCGGCCTGGAAAAAACTGTTTTATTACCTTCGTACTGCACCGCACTGCTGCAGTGGTGAGCTTGAAGTGGGAACAAAAAAATAAATAAAAAAAAAGAATAAAATAGAAACATAAAAAGCAGAAGGGAGTCTGATGCTTTCCTGGGTGCTAAACCAACAGCCGTCCCTGTCATAAGTCAAATTGCGCGATTCCATGCATGTTAAATGACAATGAAATGTAGATCAGGCTTTTCAAATCCTATTAGTTTCATCATCTATCTTCTATCAAAAGATAATGCAGGAAATCGGGTTAGAAGATCATTTTCACATTCAGCCTGCATGAAAAACTCAGGAATTCATACCTTTAATATTGTGCACATTTTCCTTTATAAATCACTTATTCAGTTTTCAGATCTCGTTTTGTGTGTAAGCAAGCTTCATTATAATCATGCCACTGGACTGTTTTGTCACCATTTGTACCCCACAAGAAGATATCTTGCATGGAGTTCCAGATGTAGGGAGATTGTCAGTTATTCAATTTTTTCTGAAAATTGCTCCAACGGTAATCTCTTCACCAGGCTGCCTGCCAATTGTAGAATGACTCATCCCAGTCTTTTAGGGGTGTAGTGATGAGACATATGAAGCAGAGGCTTTGAGGCTTGTACTGAGCATAAAAGGGGAGTGTATAAAGCACTAAGTGAAGCTTTGACTAGTAGTGAACCGTTGGGCTGGAAAGCCTCATTGCTTTATGAGGCTTCATTTGACTATCACTGGACAGATGTACAATCCTGTCCCTGGTGTCCGTAGACAGCTTTCTCATCTGGGCTATAGTGGAGGCTGGAGTTTGACTGAAGGTGTGGACACTCAGATGTCTTTTATACAGATAAGTTCAAACAACAGTCATTAATACAGAATGGAGGATAGAAGGGCTTCTTAAAGTAGTAGTAACAGGTCTGTAAGGCCTGGAATTCTTGCTTGTTTGCAAGTGCTAAATATTTATTGTCTGGACCATTATACATATTCATTCTTTAAAAATTTCAATTCAATTCAGCTTATTTATATGGCGCCAAATCACGACGAGAGTTATCTCAAGGCACTTCAAAGTAAACATCCCACTACAGTTCAGTTAATTAAGCCAATCAGTAAAATGAGTCTTATATAACAAACCCAGCAGGTTGCATCGACTCACTGTGTGAATCTCTTTACAGCAATCCTCATACTAAGCAAGCATGCAGCAACAGTGGAGAGGAAAACTCCACAGGAAGACACCTCCAGAGGATCCTGGCTAAGCATAAGCAGGCTGCCATCTTACAATGCCATTCCCTGTCTTTTTGTTTACATTCTGTCTCACAGTTGAAGTGTACCTATTAATAAAATAACAGACCTAATCTTTTTAAAGAGGACAACGTGAACAATCGGTGGCTGCTAAAAGATGTATTCTCAAAAATGTGAAGTAGTGATTTCAAATATGATACCACATATATGAGTCAAACAACATCCATCTGAATGTTTTTCTTGGGTTACCTTGGTTGAACTATCATCTTGTATGGATGGTATATGTCTCTGTCAGGGTCTTCCCTGTAAATGTGCTCCAGAATATTAATTCCTGGCACCCCTCTCCACTGAGGCAGATGAAATTTCCCACTAGGGTCAAGATACTTCTTGGGAAAGACGTGGTTTTCAATAAGGAACACACCAACCTACGGAACACACACACAGTATTCAGGGTATTACCCAACAGCAGTATGTTATGGGAAAACTGGGATTAAACAATCATTCAATCGCCAGGTAACCATAGTTCAGACTGGGCCAGCGCCACTCCTGACAAAATGCATGTTGCTATAGGCGTGTTTTCGTTGTCGGAACTTCTGGGTAAATTCTGCAAAGGGGGAATTGACCGGGAGATGTAACGGTCTTCTCAGCTGTTGTGTCTCCATATAAATTCAGCCCTTTAATTTCCCTCTGGGATTAATAAAGTATCTTTGATTTGATTTGATTTCAGGAATTTGCGTGTCGCAATGGCTGCAGCAGTGAGTGAGGTCACTGATCAACACCAAAAAGTGTCCACAGTAACATTAACAACATTAAACTTATTATTTTTTTTAAGTATGGCATATTAATTAAATCCATTCGGAGGAGGAGAATAGCAGCATGATGTAAAATGTGGCGTTCAATGATCAGACGAAAGTTCAGTTTGTTAGGGCCCTCTGTGAGACAACAAAGCCACGTTAATTACGTCATCGTGGGAGAGTTCTGCTGTGTTTTTGGGTGCTAGGAATTTAGCAACGGTGATTTTTAAGCAGTGCGGTCAATGCTTATTTTCTCATACTTCCATTCTGCTTCACATGCAACATTTCTAAAGCTGGTTGTTTTAGACTACGTCTGCTGTAGAGTTGGGACTTATGGCTCTTTGAAGGAAGCCGTTCATTAGTCGGTCTTTTACCTCAAAGAGCCGTTCAAAAGAGCCAGTCTTGTAAGGGGGTTGCTTTCCGTTGATGTCCGTGAGATCACACAGGATGGGTGGGGGGTGGGGGGTTGCTACTGGAAGACAACACGAACAGTTCTCCACAAGGACTCAGCTCTCATTGTTCACTTTGCATACCCATTCAAAAGATTTGATTCATTTGTTAACGTCACATCATTATGGGATCTGTACCGGGTCGGGCCGGGTAGCGTAAGTTTACATATCTGGGTGGCCTGGTATTTTTCCGGGCCAACCAAGGCTCATTCTCAGCCCTCTTCTCGAGGGGGTCTGCTTCAGGCCGACCAGGGCCAACACACCCACTGCTGACAGCAAATTCACACCTTCCATTAGAGCAAGCCTCTGATTGGTGGGTAGAATCAGCCCACATGGGCTTAAGACAAGGATGTGTGGAATCAACCGGGCCAGGCTGGGGCCGACTGGGGCTACCCGGCCCGGGCCGACCCGGTACAGATGGGAATGGCCCATGCGTCTGCTGATGTAATTTTCTACTGAGTCGCAACCGATCAGCATGAGCCGACCAAAAGTTCCGCTCAGCTACTCCACCGGGCCATTTTTAGTACCTATCCCTCATCAGGTACTTGTAAGGTTCCTGAAAATGGCCCAGTAAACAGCTCATTCGGCTAGGCCGGTGAAGTGGAGATACGATGAACCCTTAAGTTCAGACAGTGGAAACACGCATACCGTAAATCCTCTAATACAGGCCCGGGCCTGTATTTGACTCAAGCTCATCAAGCTCCAGGCCTTTATTGGAAGGAGGGCCAGTATTAGAGGCAGGCCTCGATTTCTATTTGAGCAAAATTAACTAATGGTTCGCTGGAGTTTTTGACAATTAAAAGTGCGCCCACATTTTCAAAATTAAACACATTTCTTTTAACAACGGTAGTTTCTGCTTCAGCCCTCTCCCCCCTCCCCCTGCGCAGCACCGCAAACTCACTGATGCACCTGCAGCCTCTCGGAGTTCCTGCTGCTCTAAACATTAAAATAATTATTTCATTTTCTGTTCCTCACTTCTGATGACCTTCAATGGTGTCTGTTTGTTGCAACAGCAGGTACAAAAACTAACTTGTTTTTATTTGACTATTTTTCTGTCCTGTCTGTTTATTATCTTCCTGCATCTCCTCTCAGTCCTAAAGAAAAACTGCTACCTGGGTTCATATATATTCACCTCATGAGTTACCTTTGAACTGCAGTTCTAAAAGATCTACCGACCGCAAAAACAGCGGAGCGCTCGCCGTTTGGCGGCCGTATCAGTGATCAGTGCGTCGGAGGACAAGGTGATGCCCGCAGCGCCCCGCTCCACAGCATGCAGCGAAACGCATCAGGCGCAAATAAAAGACAGAAAACATTAAAGGAAATGAACTGACATGAACGATCACGTGTTAAATTAGTTTTTGAGGTGGCGACACCTGATTGTTACTGTGACCATGCTCAGGAGGCAGATCTACCGACCGCGAAAACAGCTGAGCGCTCCCTGCTGTGATCTGTGCGTCGGAGGACAAGTTGATGCACCCCGCTCCACAGCAGCGATACACTTCAGGCGCAAATAAAAGACAGAAAACATTAAAGGAAATGAACCGACATGAACGATCGCGTGTCAGTACCTACGGTCCGGCACAGCGCGTTGCTGATCACAGGAATAGGGAGCGTGGTTTCACAGACGCGGAAGTGATAGCGTCGGTGAAACGCCGGCTGCTCTAGGAAACCCCCGAGCGTTCGAGCGTCAACGAAGTGACACGGAAATGCCGGGCTTTCCAGAAGTAAGTAAGATAACTTACTATGAGCTGATAGTTCGTTGGATTGATCGGTAGGTTGGAAACTCTGATCATGAATCTGAAGAAATGATGACTGAGCTGGAAAGGCGACTTCCGTTTATAGCCGCGGTTTGTGACGTAGGTGCGACGTGGAGGGAATCCCCGCGAGGGGTATGCTGGGAGTCCCTACTTCGCGGATTTTCACCTATCGCGGCCAGGTCTGGAACGCATCTACCGCGATAAACGAGGGATTACTGTAGTTCATACACCCCCTACTGCTGCTCTCCAGAGTGTTCTGCAGCATAATCAGCACGTTCTCTTTGAACTTGATAGTGTAATGACCTGGCTGGGGTTGTAAGCCAGGTGCATTCTGGGTATTGTGTTATATGTGTTTCCTATCGTTCTGCTAGTTCCTATGTGCTGATTTGCTTGTTGTGTGAGTGTTATGTAAGCCACAGGGAAGGTGATGTGTGTTCTGTGGAGCGGGTTGAATTAGCATGGTTAACTGACACCGTGACTCTGTGTGGTAGGAGCATGATAGAGGATCGTGTCTGTAGCGTTACAAACATTGAAGAAAAAGCCTAATAAAGGTCTTCCTGAACCCCTACTGCCTCCTGCTGGTTGATTTGAGGACTATAACCCTGCCGCTGGGACGCTCATACTTGCTTGTTACCACATTCCATCCGGCCATTATTTACCTCCGCTGACTCCGACACTGGGCCATTATTTACCTCCGCTGACTCCGACACCGGCCAAAATTGGAGACCCGGTCTTTAATTGAATACTGGCCTGTATTGAATACTGGCCTGTATTAGAGGATTTACGGTAATACTGTCTCCTTAGCATGATGAGAACTACTTACATCAGGATGCAGTGGTTGCAGTCTGTCCATTAGAGACATCAGGTTGTTGTGCATATATGGCATGATGATCTCATCAATGTCATTCAACAGGACATAGCGTGAGCGATCCATGGATCTATAAATGCACTCGTTCAGTGTGGTTAGCTGGCCAAAGTAGTGGATATCTCCTTCAGATTGTGAGCGTTGCCAGCCATGAGACGGATTCATGTGCTTGTCAATGGGCCAAGGAACCATTTCCACAAATCCCTCCTGGACATAACTTTGCAGAAGATGCTCAAGGTCTGGGCCACAGCTATTGTTGTAAATCACCACTCTGTTCACTCCAAGTAACCTGAGATCAAAACACACATTTTCATTATTAAATGTATTTTAATTAAAGCTGTTCGAGATGCTCTGCAGCATTCTGCCAAAAGGCAAAACTGCATATAGGTGGTCTGATAGGTGAGCCGGATCCTGTTGGATGTTCTAGGCTTTATTAACAACAATCTGTCAATGTCAGCTGGGGCTGGGAGTGGGGTGCAAATAATCTTTGCAGCTCTCCCTAGTTTCTCTTTTGAGGCAACAAGCTCCAAGGAGTTCAGTGCCTGCCCTGTAACCAGATTGTTGCAGGTTCATGTCACACTCAATCTGCCGCAGTCATGTCCTTGGGCAAGACACTTTACCGGCCTTTCTGCAGGTGGTGGTTAGAGGGACCAATGGTGTCTAGTGTATTGGCAGTCCCACCTACGTCACTTAGCTCCAGGGTTGCTGTGGCTGCATTGTGGCTCAACACAAACTGTGTGAATGTTGTGTGAATGTCTGGTGTTGCAAAATGCCTTGGGCTGTAGGACTCTAGAAGGATCTATAAAAATGCAGCCTACCATTTCTCTGCAATCATTTTGTCCTCAGTTGAGCAGCTGCTAAACCAGGCTATGTTGCAGGGAGGCAGGATGATTTCTGTTGTTCCCCTGTTGAATGATGCAATAGTTCATGGGAGGAATTTGGTTCTCTTCAGTCCTCGCCAAAATTTAAGACGATGTTGAGCCTAGGGCTGAAAACGAATCATCAAATGCTATTAATGGTTTGATTCACTAAATTCCTCGAAAATTTTTTTAGCGGTTCAAGGCTTCGTTAAATGTGCATATCACAGTCAAACACATTTTACAGGCACACAATGTGGTCATCTCGGTGCTGTGGGTGAAAATAGAGAAATCTGCAAAGACAAAAACCACTATAAAAGACAGAAATGGCCCAAAGTTTGGGTTCAAGGGTTAAACAACGGGCAGATTGGCTAAAGCTAGCAGGTAGCACGGCCATGATGAAGTGGGGTTCAGAAAAAACTTGATTGTGAATGACTGAACTTTCTAAGTGGACTGAACTTTTTGTAGATATCTGCAGCCTGCAGCAGTATGGGGCAGAACCGCAGCAGATACCTGGAGTCAGGTTGTTGCTACGAGTCTAGAGGGGCTAGCTAATAATTAGAATATTGTGACAAAGTTCCTTAATTTTTGTAATTCCATTCAAAATTGGAAACTTGTCTATTAATTCATTATTAATAATATATTCCAAATGTTTAGTTAATTTTGAAGATTTTAACTGACAACTAATGAAAATCCAAAATTTAGAATATCAATATTAGAATATTGTGAAAAGGTTCAATATTGACGACCCCCAATGCCACACTCTAATCAGCTACTTCAATGAAAACACCTGCAAAAGCCTTTAAACAATCTCAGTCTAGTACTGTAGGCTACACAACCGTGGAGAAGACTGCTGACTTGACAGTTGTCTAAAGGACAACCACTGTCACTTAGCCCTTGGACGGCAAGACACAAAAGGTCAATGCTAAAGAAACTGGCGGTTCACAGAGCTTGGTGTCAAAACCCATTAATAGGGAGGGGGAAGGATGGGCACAATGTGGTAGAAAAAAAGTGTACAAACAATAGGTATAACCACACCCTGTAGAAGATTGTGAATCAAAACCATTCAAAAATGTGGGGAGATTTAAAAAGTGTGGACTGCAGCTGGAACGCTTCAAGAACCACCATGCATAGACATATGGATGACATGAGCTTGAGCTGTCGCATTCCTTGTGTCAAGCCACTCTTGAACAAGAGACAAAGCCAGAGGTGTCTCACCTGGGCTAAAGACAAAGTGGTACAAAGTTATGTTTTCTCAAAGTAAATTTTGCATTTCCTTTGGAAATCAAGGTCCCAGAGTTTGAAGAGAGGAGAGTAACATAATCCATGTTGCTTGAGGTCCAGAGTAAAGTATACACAGTCAGTGACAGTTTAAGTGCCATGTCATCTGCTGGTGTTGGTCCATTGTGTTTTGACATCCAAGGTCAACACGGTCATCTACCAGGAAGTTCTAGAGCACTATACGTTTCCTGCTGCTGACCAACTTTATGGAGAGGCAGATTTTCATTTTCTAACAGGACTTGGCACCTGCACACAGTGCCAAAGGCACCAGTATCTGGTTTAAGGACCATTGCCTGACCTTAATCACATAGAACATCTATGGGGTATTGTGAAAAGGTAGATGCAATAGGCCCGACCCAACAATTCAGAAGAGCTGAAGGTCAATATCATAGCAACATTGGCTCTCATAACATCTGAGCAGTGCCACAGACTGATCGAGTCCATGCCACGCCGCATTGCTGCAGTAATCCAGTCCAAAAGGAGCCCCAACTTAAATATTGAGGGGCAAAACTGTCAACTGACCACTACCTGCTGCTGAGTTGGCTTCGATGGTGGGGGAAGAAGCTGGTCAGACCTGGCAGGCCTAAACATATTGTGATTGTCTGCTGGGAATGTTTGGCAGAGCCTCCTGTCAGGAGGAGCTTCAGTTACCACCTCCATTAGAATTTCAAACACGTCCCAAGGGAAGCAGGGCACATGGAGTCCAAGTGAGCCATGAGACCATGCTTCTATTGTTGAGGTAGCTGACTGGAGCTGTGGTCGCAGGGTTGTCGGTGTCTGTCGTGGTGGCAACCCCCACGGGTTAGGGATGCTGTCAAGCTGAAGAAAGAGTCCTATCAGTTTTTTTAGCCAGTGGGAATCCAGAGGAAGCTGATGGGCACCGGCAGTCCAAGTGGAATGAGGCTTGGGTGGTCGCGGAGGCAAAAACCCTGGTGCGCGGGTAGTTCGGTGAGACCATGGAGCAAGACTTCCAAATGGCTTCGAGGAGATTCCGATCCATCATCCGGCATGTCAGGAGGGGAAAGCAGTGTGCTACTAACACTGTTTAGAGTGTGTGCTGCTGACCTCTAATTGAGAAGTTATGGATCAGTGAGAGGAATACTTCAAAGATCTCAATCCCACCGGTATGGAAGCGGAGTCCGGGGACTTTAGGTTGGACTCTCCAATCTCTGGGGCTAAGTGGGCAAAAAACTCCTCAGTGGCAAGATCCTGGGGTGGATGAGATCGGCCCAGAGTTCCTTAAGGCTCTGGATGTTGCTGGTTGATGTGGCTCTGCAGTATTGCGTGAACATTGGGAACAGTTCCACTGGATTGGCAGACTGGGGTGGTGGTCCCCTTATTTAAAAAGGGGGACCACAGAGTCTGTTCCAACTACACAGGGATCTATACCATTAGGGGGATCTTGGAGGGAGGTTGTTAGGTCCCTGTATGACTGGTGTCAGAGGTTGGTCTAACTTTCTGGCAATAAGTAGAGTTCGTTTCCAGTGAGAGTTGGACTCCACCAAGGCTGCCCTTTATTATAGATTCTGTTCATAACTTATACAGGATTCCTAGGTGCAGCCAAGGTGTTGAGGGGATCTGTTTTGGTGGCCTAAGGATCAGGTCTCTGCTTTTGGCAGATGATGTGGTCCTGCTGGCTACATTAGAATGTGATTCCCAGCTTTCACTGGAGCAGTTCGCAGCAGAGTGTGAAGCTGCTAGGATGAGAATCAGTTCCTCTAAATACAAGACCATGGTCTTGAATCGGAAAAGGGTAGAATGCCTTCTGTAGGTCAGGGACGAAATCCTGTCTCAACTAGGGGAGTTTAAGTATCTTGGGGCCTTGTTCACGAGTGAGGGAAAGATGGAGGGTGAGATCGATAGGCAGATTGGTTCTACGTCTGCAGTGATGCGGGCGTTGTACTGATCTGTTGTGGTGAAGTTAGAGCTGAGACGGAATACAAAGCTCTCAATTTACTGGTCGATCTACGTTCCTACCCTCACCTATGGTCAAGAGCTTTTGGTAGTGACCGAAAGAATAAGAATGCAGAAACAAGCGACCAAAGTAAGTGCTCTTCGCAGGGTGGCTGGGCTCTCCTTTAGACATAGGGTGACAAGCTTGGTCAACCGGGGAGGGGCTCTCAGTAGACCTGTTGCTCCTCCACATCAGGAGGAGCCTGATAATAATATTTGCTCAAACCAGCAGTAAGTGCAACTGAAATTGATTATAAACAATGTGCTGCTACATTTAGCAGTACAAAATCTAACCCAGAACAAAGAATGATTTATGCTTTTTGTCCATGTCATGCCACTTTTGTGCTAAAATATCAAATACGCTCAAGTCATCATCAAGTCAACAGTTGAAAGCCGATTCAAGTCGCAAGTCACTGGCATTCAAGTCAGATTCCAAGTCGTAAGTCTTCATAAATTTTATCATGTCAAGTCAGAAGTTATTAAAATAATGACTCGAGTCCAAGTCATGTGACTCGAGTCCACACCTCTGGTGATCAGTAAACAATGAGGTGATCTGTATGTTGCACAGAAACAACTCTACTTTACTTTCATTCATTTATTTCCATTATCATTCGCAATACGATTCCTTCAATGGATGCAAGTCCAATTTGCAGGGGGTTGTTAGTGGAATGCGTCAAGGTTTTTCACTGGGGCCCTTAGTACTTTCAATTTTTATAAATGATTTGCCACTCTTTTGTACTTCATGCTCGAATCATGTGTATGCTGATACACTTTTATATTGTTCTAAACCGAACAAACTGGTAATTCAGGAGACCCTTCAGCTTAATTTGAACAAAGTGCAGAATATGCCAACTCTAACTTCTTAATAAATCAAAATCGTATTCTATGCTTTTCCAGAGACAACTTATTATTCTGCTGTAAATGGTGATCTGAACTTACATTTTTTAGACTCTTCATGATTCCTCTCATCTGATAAATTTAAATACTTGGGGGTTTGTTTGGAACCAGACTTGTCCTCATATTCAAAGAAATCTCACATTAGGTTGATGTTTTTTGAAAACTATCAGTTGTTTTGACATCACAATAAGGAAGCATATTGTAAGCCAACTTTTGTTTCGGATTATGGATAATGCAGATATTTACCAGAACTTCACAGTTGCACGTGTTTAATCTCTTGATGTTATATTCAATAACTTATGTCATTTTATTTTACCTTGTACTTTTAGAATACACCATTGTCACATGTGCCATGCCTTTCATGGCTTTCCTTAAATGCAAGGGGTCAAATTTATTGGTTATTACCAATTTTTAAATGAATCTTGTTTTGATTTTCGATCTTATTTGAAAATGTTAGTACCCTTTAATTATGGTATGTGTATCACACTTGGATCAGTGCTCTCTTTTGTAATTCCTTGGTTTTATACAAGTATAGAAACATGATTTTTATGTTAAAAGTCCTTGGGACTGGAACAAGTTACCCGTACATTTAAGATCAATATCTTCATTTCACTTCTTTAGAAATGCTATTCATGAATATGTGAAGCAGACGTGTAATTGCTTTGAATCCATTGCCTGATAATATGACTCTATATCAAAAGTATTATATTTACACTTATTTCTTTTGTTTGTGCCATAGCAGGATTTTTTAGAATGTAGAATTTGTAGAATATTTCGGTTTGTGATTTATGGCTTAGACGTGTAGGAATGAATGAATGAATGAATGAATGAATGAATGAATGAATATAAGCACACAGGACAGCACATGTGAAAAGTGGAAGTGAGCAGGATTAGCATTCCAAACTGAAGAGCAGCAATGGTAGAAAGAACAAAGCTTTTACTGAAACGTGCTCGCTTGCATCTCACCCCGACTTCACACTGGGGGCATCAGGAGTACGAACGGCAGCGGAATGGTTTACTCGCGTGATTCACTGCGCACCAGTCCACACCCGGAAAGTCTCAGCCACAGAGCAACTTCTCTGCCGTCCTCCTCGCTGGACTTGCGAGATTACAAAATCCCTCGAGACATCAAAGGTTAATGCCAACCGTAGAAGTAATAAATCACATTTGACATTACGGTTTGAGGTCATATTTAATGTTGTCCCTCTCCACTGGTAGGATTAAAGCCACAAAACACACCGTTGCACTTCTCAAAAGATGCTGGGCGTAAATAAGCCGTTAGGTCGCATGTATTGATGTAATCTACATAGATATGAAATCATGTTGATGCAATAGTCTTATTTAGAAAATTACCGGATGTTTTAGACTGAAACTATGTCCGATTTCCTGTCTAGAACTATGTTAGCTGCCGAAATTGATGTGTCCCAGAAGTGGTTTGCTGCAAAAATAAAATTCAATTCTATTCAAGTTTATTTATATAGCGCCAAATCACGACAAGAGTCGTCTCAAGGCACTTCACATAATAAACATTCCAACACAGGTCAGTTCATTAAGCCAATCAGTACAAAGTTTCCTATATAAGGAACCCAGCAGATTGCATCAAGTCACTGACTGGTGTCAGTGACTTGATGCAATTCCCATTCCAAGCAAGCATTTAGCGATAGTGGAGAGGAAAACTCCCTTTTAACAGGAAGAAACCTCCTGAGGATCCTGGCTCAGTATAACCCCATTTTTTAGTGTGCCGCTTCTGGGGCTCACCTGACCATTTCTGCACTGGGACCAGTTTGGATGAACCCTACAGAATTTATTGAATTCTATTTGAAGCAGCAATGTTCTGCCGACGTTCCGCACAGCTGTTGCCTCAACTGTGAAGTCAGGGTCAGAGTTATGTTTGAAGGGCCTGAGGGCAGCAGGGAGAAATGGCTACGAGGGGGTAGTCTGGGTCAATAGTTGGAAAATTTACCTCTGTTGCCATTGACTTTCACATCTGTGATACGATTTATATCTAATTAATTACATAGTACCTTTCAGAGACCTACAACACCCCCAAGGTGCTTTAAAGCACAACATTCATGTCATTTGCCCACTCACACATGCATTCAGTGGTGTGATGAGCTACATTGTAACCACAGCTGCTCTGCGGCACTCTGACAGAAGCTAGCCTGCCGTACACTGTAGCCACAGGTCCCTCCGACCACCAGCAGCAGGTAAGGAGGGTGAAGCATCTTGCCAAAGGGCACAGAAAAACTACAGACTGATTGGGGTGAAACCAGCAACCCTCCAGTTATGGGGCAGGTACTCATCTCCGTTCCCATAGTTGCCAGCAATTGAAGAAAGTGCTGTGGGTTTCATCGCATCAACATGTGAGTCGAAGCATGCACCATTAAAAAAAAAAAAAGCCAACCCAAAGCCACAACTTTTTTGCTCAATTCCTGCATCAATTACTTTATGATGTAAAAATAAAGAAGCACAAATGAACAATTGTAGTTTTAGGACATGTCTGATGCAACGATAAGTGGCATTTAAGTTGTGTCAAGAATTGGGTCTTTAATAACATGAGTAACACTACTGACCTGTACATCTCCAGAGACTGTGCAAACTGAAGCACGTTGTTGTATTTCCCAAACAGAGTGGAAATGCAGACAGTGAAGTTTTCCGTCAGCTCATCTTTTCCACGGGTTTTCTTGTTTTTCACAGGAATCCAGCTGAGGTCAGATACATCCCTTGTACTGGGCCGAGTAAGAAGGGTGACATGTGACACATCGCAGTTTTTAGGTAACTGACACATAACGTCTGTAGCACCAAAGGGAAACCCAAAGTGGTCCGTGTGAGGTAAAACCATTGCTGGCTTTGTTCCATTTAAATGGCCAGAACAGCAGAAAAGGCAGTAGAGTGGTTGAATAGAGTCTCTCAGAAACATGCCGATGATCCGTACATCAAAACCTTTCACTCTCTGATCCATGAAGGCGGAAACCAGTAGATGCTTGGTGTTTTTAAGAGGAGTGATGGTCTGCTCAGTAATTAATGGTTTACAAACATATCGAGGCCCACGTCGTTTTGGGATGAAGCCATTTGATCTGGGTGATCTTAAATGAAAGATTATGAAAACACAGGTAATGAGGATGATGAGTAGAAGAGTTCTTTTGTAGTGGTTTGCCTTTTCCATTTGGGCTGAGAAGAAATGAAATCCCAACCTGAAACAAAAAATGCTATTAAAATAAATCTAACTAAAATAATCCTCCAATGATACAAACCTGAAAATCACTGCATTTTAAGAATTACAGTTACTCCTGCTTCACAATGTGACCAGGACAAGTTGAGTCCAACACAAATCTAAAGCTAATACAATCTCACAACTCAGACTCAGGCCTAGTCCACACGTGGCCGGGTTTTTTTTAAAAACGAATATCTGCCCCTCCAAAAACTTGCATCCACACCACCTCATTTAAAAAAAAAACTGTCCACACGTACCCGGATAAATACGTTGTTAAAGAGCGGGTCAATTGAGCCTCGGAGTCTGCTATGTGCTAATGCTGAACTACCGCTGACCTCCTACGCTCGCTTGCAAATCCAACTCCCACTCGCCACAGGGCGTGGCCGAGACGCTCGTTGCTTTCATAACTTTGGCACGGAGCTGCTACGTAGTACTCTACTGGTTTACGTAGTACTTTACTCTTTAGCCATTGGCTAAAATTTATTCAAAATGACTCAAATTCTATGTTTTCAGCTGAAGGTGGCGCATTACTGTGGTTTTTAGACAGAATTTTTAATTTTTAAAGAAAATGCACCAAAATGCTAAAATAAAGAATGCCCGTCCGTCCACACGCAGACACCCAAAACGGAGAAAACGCAAATCTTCACTTTGGCCGGAGTTTTTCAAAAGATCCGTTTTCGTGTGAAAAAACTCCGTTTTCGTGTGGATGACAGGCCAAAACGTAGAAAAATATCTACGTTTTGGCAGATCCCCGGCTACGTGTGGACAGGGCCTCAATGTCTCACACATACACATACAACCCAAGACGTACAAAAATGCACTCCAGACACCCACTCATGCTCCCCATACACACCCTATTTACTCTGGTCTTAGTACTGCTGCACAAAGGGTACAACCATCACCGGTTGCCAGAGTTCGACGATGAGCAAAGCAACCCACCACCCCAGACCCCAACCAGATGGCCAGATCCCCCTTCTAGCCTTAACTCAGAGGTGGGAATTAAAGCTCCTTTTGATGGGAGAATCCAGACATTACGAGCAGACTCTCACAATATGTTTTGGCCAGCCAGGCGCCTCATTTATTAACCACACTTACACACATATGTGTATTTTGTGGTTGGGAACAATTTTACACACTATGTGGTATATTGTACTTGTGTGTAGACATGTTCCCAAATAAAAGAACAGCTCTAGCCATGTCATTCTAGTGGAAGAATGAGCGAATTACAATAATGAAGGTCTCAATCGTATATTTTTACCCAATAAGTAATTATATGTCTGTGGAAAAACAATTTTGTTGCATAACTGGTGTTAGAACCTATAAAGGACACCTTTGACCGATAGGAATTTGACATTGTTGCATGGCTGATTTTTTTATTATTAGAGTATTTGGCAGAGTGTGCACTCCGGAGGGAGCACATCTTCCATGAGCGCACATGAAATTACTGGTTGTTTGTAAAATCATATGAGATAAATAATCTTAAATTATAAAAAAATAAATAAAAAAATATTTAACTATGACTTGATCAAAATGTTCTGTACAATTACCAATAAAGTAGAAAATGTATGTGATGCTAAATTTTGATCCAAGTCAGATTCTATGGACTTTTCTCTGCTATAGGGAAACGGAAGTGAGAAAAGGTCCATTACTTGTCCTGACAGAAAAATAAAAATTACTCAAAGAAAAATGATATAAACTTAAAATCACAAGTGACAAATATTAGCTGGTACAAAGATTTGGGAAATGATTAAAACAGTGAAACCCAGAGTTTGTGGCGTGAATTGATGAAGATTCCAGCACATTGAATATCCAAACAGTCTGTTGGGCTGCTTTAACGTTCCCTACTTAACGTAACCTGTACCAACAGCATGGATCAAGCTTGTTTCACAATAATCATTATTCCAGGCTGAGCTACAGATTTGGAAATTGTGTGTGTGTGTGTGTGTGTGTGTGTGTGTGTGTGTGTGTGTGTGTGTGTGTGTGTGTGTGTAGAGCTCCATGTTCTTTTCACTTCAGACATTAAAATAAAATCTGAAAAAGACATTTCCAAATGTCACTGGTTGAACATGCAAACATTAATGTAAAGCTTAAACATGATCACAAACAGCTTCAATTTGTATTCTGTCAACTCGTGACTATTATTTTCATCTAGTGGAACACAAGTGGTAAAATATGCTATTATAAATTGATTTAAATTGTAGAGAGCATCTCCAGAGCCTAGCCTACCCAAAGGGAAGCCTTGACTCCAACTGTGGGATCCATCTGTCTCTGGAGATTTGACCTGCATTTTAGATTTAAGCTAGCTGAGAGTATAATAAGCTGCTTAAAATCAACATCAGTTTTCAGGACTTACCCCATTAGATTACTTCTGCTCAGTTTGGATCATCTCAGCAGCAGTTAGAGGACCTTGCTGAACCAAGGACCAAGTTCACTACATTTCCAAAAAACCCTGAAGTTTTTTCTCATATTCCAACTTCTTCCTTCAAAATTCACATGTGAAAATTCCTGCAGTTTTAAATCTATGATTTTATCATCTAAAAATGAAGCTTATCATGGCAACATGAGCTGCCTTACCAAACAGCTGACGGACATTAGCTGATCAACAGGTTGCTTCTGCTTCTGCTCTGTTAAAGTCAAACAAATTTCAGCATACCAGGGACGTGTTGGTATATTATAGTGATTATATCAAATTTCAGAGCAAAAACTAAGCACATTGAGAAAATTAGGATTAGCTTTTGTACAACAAAATACTGAAACAATGAAATTGCAGGTAAAAGGGACAAATCGTAAGCAATCTGCAGCAACATCAGTTCATCAACGATGATTGAATCTTAGAAGCTGTAATAAATTACCTATATGGAATGGCAGATAAAATTAATCCAAATTGTTTAAGGTTTATTCAGTGGATTTGAAATTTGTAATCATTTATAGACAAACTTACAGGAAATCAGCTATGCATGGATGAGGTGACCCTCCATTTAGTGCTCTCAGCAAATGACCTGACAATGTTTGAACCTTTGAAGTTTTCCTAGAGGAACACACAGACCTTCCCGTGTCTCCACCCCACACCTAAAGAACAGATGTTGGTTCCCATTTCTGGTTTCCCGTTTGGGAACCAAATTTCCACACCATGGGCATCTTTAATCTGCTCCTATTATAAAACTACAACAGCTAGACACATCAAACCTGGACAAAATTATTCTACACTGAAAACAGAATCCATAAAACAGTTTCAATTGATTTGTAAACCCCAGCCAGAAATGAGAACCAACTTCAGCTTTGTCTCTACCTGCCCCTACAGGGATAATTTATATGCCAAAATGTTTGCCAAACAGAAAAATTGGCAAAGTGAAATGTTTAATAGACAAAAATAATGATAATCTATTTGCCTTCAATAAAGCACCTTTAATCTAGGTAAACCTGCAGATTCTTCCTTGCATGTTTGGTTAGCTGATGTTGCCCCTCCCACTACCAGAGAGAAGGAGCTGTTACCATGCTGCTCTTCGTTGGTCACCGTCAGCAGCTTTAACATTCAACACCTTGTGCAATGAAACATTTTTGATCACTTATGTTGTTACAGAAGTGAGTCACAAACTGCTTTTAAGCTTTTTAATAATAAAAATGACAGGCAGCAGATGTATTTATACCTCTCATCATACAGTATATTTAACTATTTGTCCTTTTCATCAGACCTTAGCGGCCTCACTCTCTTCAGCACCCTGTCCACATTAGGGATTAGTCTTTCATGGAAGTTCCACCGTTGCTTGACCACATTAAGAGCTTCTACATGTGGCGATCCACCCACACTAATGTGAATGATTCGGCAGACTTCTAAGAGAACTCTGTCCAAATTTCTGAAGCACTTCATGGACTGACGTCTGCTCCACCATTCTGTGATTTATGAGAAAGTTTAGAGAAATTGGAATTTTGGATTTAAATGCGTCACACAGCACAAACATGCACTTCAATTTTCAAGCAAATCGTTGCTGTTTAATTATAAAAATACATAAAATTTAGATATTTAGTGGTTTTTTTGAAGTAACTTTCAGGGAATCCCATTTCACTGTTTTATCTAAAGGAAGCAGAAATAAGTCCAGTGGAGAAACCCAAACATCCACATCCACAGCAACACTCTTGATCTCTTCCTGACAGGATCCCAATCCCAGAGAAGTTGTTGGTCCTCAAGGGAGTTGCAGGAATCCTCCTTCCAGGATGTTCTTCACAGGTGTCCCAGACTTCTTGCCTCCTCATCACCAGATCCAGGTGAAAGTTGAGAAGAAGGCAGATAGAACATCCTCACGACTGAAGACAAAGCTCGGAGGAGGAGCTGAGCTTGCGAGTAAGGTGGAGCAATTCTCACTTCCAAAAACAGCTTGGGCTCTGGAGAAGACACTCTGTGTTTATGCAGTAAACAGTATCTTATATTACAGATTACTTGGAATCTCTGGATGGTGTCCTGGAACTAGAAAATTCATTACTCATTATTTACTGGGAAAACTTCAAATATGTGTGCACTGACTGACTCACTTGCAGCAGAGCAATTGATAGGAGTTTCCTGCTTGGTCTGAATAAATCATTTTTAATTAGAAATTTTATTCTGAAACTTGTTTCACAAAAAAGATGTACCCAAACCTTTAGGAGATGATTAATATTGTAAGAAAGACACTGAAAAAAGTCTTGAGAAAAGCACCACAGAAATCCCTCTGTGCCTCTGACTGCTGTGATGCTCCTACTCTAGGAATCGGTGTCCCAGTGGGAGAGAGGAGATGGTGCTTCCCACCACAGGAGTTCCAGGGGGTCCAGAAAAGAAAAGGTGAATAAATAAATGAGTTGCCTCACTGTTGCATTACATCTCTATCACCAAGTTCAGTTCAACTTGATGCAAATCTTTTTTAGACAAACAAAATCCAAAAGAAAACATATTCCAGCTCCTATTTTGCACTTACATTATTTTGCATTCAATAAAGAATTTTAAAATTCATTTTTATTCCCTCACTGTTGCGTGGCTGACAGCTTGCTCTGCACTCCACAGAGCCCAAAGACATTTCCACACACAACAGCTGTGTGATGTGCCAGTCACACAGCACTGGAGGGAATAACAGACCAAATATAGACTAAGGCCTGACAATCAAACGTCCAAGTTTCTAGGTGGCCATGATCACCCTTTTGTGTTCTACATGTTTATTTAAATGCAAAAATCACAGCATGGCTACAGATGCTACAGAGAAGCTGAAGGTGGTGCTTCTTTAAAAATAGTAAATAGACACGTCACAGTTTTTAATTACAGAAGTTCATTGCAGCCTTATTGTAAAGCTTTACCAGGACAGAGAAATATTCATTCCATTCATTGCATTTTATTTATAAAGCACATTTCTACACGGCCGAGGCCAACCAAAGTGCTTCACAGTAAAAGAGCATAAAAATCAACACACGGGAAGAAAGTAACAGAAGTAGTACAGTAACTACTATAAAATCAACAATCAAAATAAAACAGACATAGTAAAATGCTAACTAGGCAGAAGTAAAAGCCAAGAAATAAAAATGAGCCTTCAGGCGTGATTTAAAATCAGAGAGAGAGGGGGCCATTCTCACTGCTAGAGGGAGTTGGTTCCAGAGACGAGGCGCACAGATTCAGAACACTCGTTCTCCTCGTGTCCTCACCCGAATACTTGGGACCTGTTATAGGCGGTGGTCTGCTGACCGAAGAATTTAACCAGGTACGTAGGACTGAACCAGCTGAGTCAAGTACAGAGGGGCATAAAGATAGAGTGACTTAAAAACAAGAAGTAAAATTTAAACTGGATGAGGTAGCGCACCGGGAGCCTGTGCAGCTGGGTCAGAACAGGAGTAATGGGCTCCATCCATCTGGTGTCCGTCAAAAGGCGGGCCGCCGCATTCTGCACCAGCTGTAGGTGCACAACCGAGGAAGATGTGGATCCTTAAAAAAGGGAATTCACATAATCCAAGCGAGAGATCACAATTGCATGGATCACTGTGTGCAGGTCACGTCTAGTCAGGATGGACTTCATCTTTGATAGCCGGTGAAGCTGGAAAAAGCAGGATATAACCACCTGACTAATGTGAGAGTGCATCCGCAGCTCTGGGTCCAAAACCACCCCCAGGTTAGTGATGGTTAGCTTCACTAAACTGGCTTCATTAAGACTAAATATGTCAGGAATTATCCACGTGCCACTATTTGTTTTGTTTAACCATGTCTCACTACTCAGGCACAGCTTGGCTCCTTCAATCAACTCATCACTGCCGCCTGTGCCTGCTCATAAACAGCTCGACTCCTCAGCATCATTTCTAGATTGTCTGAGTCCTTGCCAAACCAAGCAGGTGTTTCAAAGTTTCCAATAGTTTCACAGAGTTTCACCCTTTGAGCCTTCTGAGCTACAAAGTTACACATTTGATAGCACTGATGTCTTTCAGCAAGGAAGTCTGAATCTAGGCTCTGACCTTTTTGTTGAATATGCTGCATGTTCTGTCCATGCATGCGTGGGTTTTCTCCGTGTACGACTACATCCCACCCAGTGTTAATTTTGTTGGTGAAATATTTATATATTTTTCATAACAAATATATTTTTGTTAAGGAGGTGGATTGCATTCAGCCACAAAAAATAAGAAGCTTTGTTTTTCCAAATAAACGAGATTAATTTTGACAGAAAATATACAAAATCAGCTCTGTTTTAGAAAATTATTGAGATATTTTTCACAGAAATTATTTTTAAAAAGCCCGGTTTTTCTGAATTAACATAATTTTCACAGAAAATATAAAAACGTCTGGTTTTCCCAACTAACAAGACAACTTTTACAGAAAAACATGAAAAACACTTTGTTTTTCTAAATTAATGAGAAAAATTTCATTGAAAAAAAATTAAAAGCTCTGTTTTTCCAAATGAACAAGACAATTTTCACAGAAAAACTAAAAATGACTCGGATTTACGAACTATAAAACCATATAATACCATAATGCAGCCTATTGCCATCTTCCTCTTTGCCTACATCTGACCACTTCCATTATACATTTAGTTATTTTTTCAAATTTATATCCGCCGTGATCGCTTCACAGGCCACGGCTGCAAAAATGCAGTGTCACTGGAAAGCAATAAGCCTTTTGTTCTGTGCCTACATCAAGTGAAATGGATAAAGTTTTGTTTGCCATGGTTACTTGAAAAATTCCGGCTTAGTTATATGCAGAGTCTTCATAAAGTGCTTTGTATCGACTATTTCTGGTAGTAAATGAGTGTGTAGGAGGAGGGATATGATCTACAAACACCTGAGCATATTTTCAGGAAGACTGTGTTTTAGAAACCAGGAATTGTATGAGTGAGTTGTTTTATTGGTCAGAAAATGAGTTTGGGTCAGTAAATGTTTAAGGATGTTTAAGGATTAGATGTAGTTTTATAAATGAGGCCTCATTTGAATTGGAAATGATAAATACTCTGCAGAAAAAAAAGATAAATATACTAAATAAAACAGGTTGTGCAAGAAATGTCACATATATCTGTTAGCCTTGTGTGCAATCTGGAAACCGAGCAACTATGTGTGTGCACCATCTGGAAAAGGATATCAGAGAACCATTTCTGTTGTCTCACAGATAGAAGGTTCTGTTTTAACTCAAAGAGGTGAGACTGGAGAAGCAGCTCGTTGTTGCTGCAGCAGCAGAATCTCCTCAGAAAATCTGGTAGGAAGGATCAAGTCTAGCAAAATAATGTCAAAAAGGGTTTTGTTACAATTTACACATAATTACATCCATGTAAGATTTACAGATTTGGCCCTGAACAGAAAAATAATTATGTCATCAGAAATGAAAATAGTTTAACTAGATTTATTCAACAACAACGAAATTATCAACAGTGTGTTTAGTTTCCAGAAAGATTGACCATTTTTTAAAATATTCACCATCAATGAGGGTGAATGGAGAAACAGTTTGTGACACGTGATAAGTGAGCGGGGCAGCAGTAGCTCAGGAGGTAGAGCGGGTTGCAGGATCGACCCCGGTTCCTGGCAAAGAATAATGCTGTTGTGTCCTTGGGCAAGACACTTAACCCACCATGCTTGTTGGAGGTGGTCGGAGGGACTGGTGCCAGTCAGCAGCCTAGTTTCCATCAGTGTCCCCCAAGGCAGCTGTGGCTACAATGTAGCTCATCATCACCAGTGTGTGAAGGTGTGTGTTGGAGCCTTCTGACTCTGAAAGGTGTCTTACAAGTGTGGGTCATTTATCATTTAAAACTGGTATAATAAAGAACGGAAGTCGAAAGAGAACATCCACTGAAATGAATACTTGTTTTTGTTTTAAGGTTGTTTTTAATTACCGGTATAATTGAATATGATCAGAAAGGAAAACATTGATTAGAATCTGTGCCATTAAAGAGCAAGTCACCCACAAATCAACTTTTTTTTGCTGATAAACTAAAATCGTGCTGCAGACACGTGTCGTCAATAATTTGGCACTTCAGTGCATCTTAGTTAAAATTTAAATATTCTGCCTAAAACTGTCAGTGTTACGCCGTTGTCAGGTAAAAACTCTGCACTGTATTTGGATTTAAATCTGCCACCGCTATTGGCTAAGAGGTATGCTATGATGTAAACTGGTACATTATGATGTCACAATGCTGTCGTGAGCTTGTGTGTGTGTGTATTTGTTAGCGGCTCCGCCCTCTCGGTCTGCCAGGCAACAGCATTTGTTGCATTTTTCAAACATGAAGTGGGAGTGGAGTTAGACTCTGGTAGGGGGGTGACTTGCTCTTTAACTGTACAGTATTTATCATCATGCTTAAAACTAATTCTGAAATGGAGGCACCTAGAATCTGTCGTTCATGCTGTTATAACCTCCTGCTTCCTGTGCCAATGCACTGACCAGTACCCCTTTCTCGGCTTTGAACCGGCTGCAGGTTGTTCAGAATGCTGCAGCCAGGTTCCCGACAAGCACCAGCCACTGCAGTCAAATGACTTTGGTTCTGGCGCAGCTTCACTTTAGGATAGGATTTACCTGATCATTACATTTAAAGCGCTCAAGGGCCTGGTACCAACGTATCTGTCCAAGCTGCTCTCTCACTATGTCCCTATGCATGTGCTGAGGTCTGCCGATCTTCTGCTGCTCTCTACACCACAGGTGAGATACTAATCTAGGGAGGACGGGCTTTTGTGTGTGCCGCCCCGACACTCTGGATCTCACTGTTTCTGTCGGACAGACAGGCTCCACCTCTTGCCTGTTATGTTCAATAACTCACTTTTATGGCTTGGCCTTTGGGCAGTGACTTCAGTGCTTCTGTCTGAGGTTTTACTGATTGATTGTTTTACCTGTTGTTGCAACTTGTCTTGATAGAGCTCTCATGCTGTGTTTAAATGTGCTCTACAAATAAACTGGTATGGTACGATCTGTTTTTTCTTCTTCTTTCCTTCTGAATGCAAAGTGTCGGCCCTTCAGTGTCCTCAGACACCATTATGATCATCATCATGAAGGTAGATACTGAGGACACCTAGAGGCAAACAGAAGTAACAACAGCAACTGTAAGTACACCAGCACCTTTTGATAGGAGACTTGAACGTGTTTGTTTTGGTAAAACTGCTTTTGATTCTCCACCAGGCAACAATAAAATGTGACTGAAAGCATAAAAACTGCAAATCCTGCAAGAATTATTTTTTGTAGCAATTTTCAAAAGGCTGCAACAAAAAGCAACCACAAATCAGTCAGTGTGGTTTGGTTTATTGTACCTGTAAAACAACTTTTACTGTCTAAGAAATGTCATTTCTAAAGCAATAAAATACCACAAAAAGAATATAGAATTATTAAATATTTCACACTAAATTCCCAGAGTCATGTGCCGTATGGGCAGGGATTTAAAGCGTTATATATTTAATATATTTTAAAGAAAACGTATACATTTACTGGTAAATTATTTTAAAAAGTCATAATTTTCCATGGAGTTCTGTTTTCTACCAGAAGATGTCGCTACAGGTTCAGTATTAGTGTCTTCTTTCATTACAAGTAAAATTTTATTGTCACAACTGTTATTATTTAATACTTTAAAAAGTTTTTTCTAAAGAATGATTTCATGACATTAGACGGTAAAAAAATACAAGATTTTTATTAAATGTATGTTGTTTACAGAGATAAACTGTAAATACATTCAAGATCAAAACAAATAAAATAACTTCATACAAAAGTTTGTGTATCAGGACATCAAACATCATTTTTATATGTGACATATTAAGGCAAAAATAACATTAGATTAACAACAGCACAGAAACAATTGTGGGAAAGTAATTTAGTCATCAGAGGGGTTTCTATTATAATTGTTTTAAATTGAAATTCACTCGTTTCAGGCAGATGCTTGAGTGAACCATTGAAACATATTGAATTTTTTAGGCTCTTTTCTTTGTGGATTTGATCTGTAGCTCGATCCAGTTTTAGCTAGTCTTAGGTTGTCGACATCACATGTGAATCTTCATAAATAGTTTAGGCTTTAGACTAAATCAGCGCCCTGGCTGGAACTTGAAGCATAAAACAAATAGATGTAAAAAGCATCATTTGGTCATAGAACTTTTTGAGGTATTTAACCACAATTATAACTTCTGTAAAAATCAGCCAGACAGCAAATCACACCCACTGTCATGTTCCTGGGCAGAGGTGAGTCACACCTTCTCCTCTCACCAGACTCTGAGCTAATTCTCCACAGGTGAGGAGCAGGGGGAGCGGCAGCTGCAGGAGATTTCCCAATCAGGGACGCGGGTTCAAAAGGAGGATGGAGACACATCACTTTGCCGGATGATTGCACCAGTTTAGGTAGCACCAGCCACTCGACTCTGAACTTTGATCTTGTTAATTCGTGTTTTGACTCGCCTTCGACTAGTGGATTTATGACCTTGGATTGTATTTTGGATTTGGAATTGGATTATCCCTTACGCCTGTTTTTGTCTCGCTCAGGATCATCTCATCATCTACTCACCCTCGCTGTCTTCGTTTTCTGGAACATACTCATCACGTCCCATCCTCCTCCGCCGTTCCTGTTTGGCTTTCCCTCTGCTACCTCACCCCTCCTGGATCTCTCATCCTCTGCCCAGCGTCCTCCCCGGCTTCCCCTCCTCTCCTGATTAACCTGAGCACCTCAGAGACTCGAGCCGTATTGCTCATCCCACAGGACTTCCCTGTGCGGTTTCAGTTCCCGTTTTTATAATAAAGACATTTTACTTTACTGCTTTGGACTACGTGTGCTGATTCTGCATGTCTTGGGTTAGACACTTACCTCGAGCCATGACACCCACTGAGCAACAAACATTGTAGAGCATGAAAAGAGCTTTGCATGGCATATTTGTAACTGCAGGCTGAGGAATTTTCACAGTTCTGACCCGTCAATCTTTTTTGGATCGGCTTTACTTCTGCCTATAGCATCTGTCAAAAACAAAGAAGCAGAGAGAGATTTGAACAGAAAAGTGCATTTTGTTGGCCTGAGCGCATTAAGACGTAGATTGTTAACTTCTACTGCACATGTATGTGTTTATGTTAGCTGATTCACTTCATTTATCCTCCAGGCATTAAAGGGTCCTGAAAATTGTCTGTCGCGCCCTTGCGTCCAACGCTGACCCCATCAAAGGCCACATCTGCTGCACGTAGCATCCAAATGACCCATGTTTGGCTCCCATTTTTCTTCTGTGATCAAGCAGTCAACAAGAGAAGATGAAGTCCACTGCAGTCCACCTGTGCACCATCACGGGCAGCAAATCCTCCAGTCTGACCTTCATTCCTGCAGCGATGCTTGTCTAAAGCCTGTGATGTATGAATATGGTCAAAACTGACCCAAACACCAGTTCTGCTGCACCACTGTCGGACGTTGTTGACAATATTAGTTGTGTTTGCATAAAATTGTCCTGTTTCTTATATATTTTTGATATGCTCAGTTAGTCTGCTCTATGAGAAAAAAAAGTCAGAAAGTTCTGTTTTTGTGTAACAAAACTACATAAAGCTTCAACCACAACGTTATAACTTTACGTTTTATCAGAAATACTAGAGAAAAAAAACAGGATACTTTACAAAAAAACTACTAAATGATTACGCAACCACTGTACATTATTTATTGGGCACAGAAATGGCTACAAATAACACAAACTCATCTGCTGGTGTGTAGTTAGAGTGCACAAACATGAATTTGTTCCATTGTAATCGTCAGCTTGGCTCCTCTGCTGTTCTGCTCTTTCTACTTTCCTCACGATCCACTGATTTCCCTCTTTCCTTACATTATTATGTTTTATCACATTTTCCCCCCTCATTTTAAACATGTTTTTAATCATTTCTGTAAATCTTTTATATACATTTATTTATTTATTTATTTTTTGTGAAGCGCCTCGTGATTTTTATCTTGAGAGGCACTTTATAAAAGATTGTTTTCTTTCTCTTTTTTTTATAGGCAACAGTTTTTGCCTACAAACGTCTGGTGTCCAACTGGAGTCTTTGGTGTGGCTGATGGGTTTAGATCTGACACCTTAAAACAAAACAAAACACTTTCATTTTGCCTTAAATGACTGGCTCTGATCTGTCACCCCTCCTAAAGAATCAGAACTATACCTCCAAACATTTGACACACTGAGGGGTGTTAAAGACTGGATGGATGTATTCTGTTTGTGCAGAACTCAACAGTGTGGTTTGACACTATGAAAAGTCCCCAGAACTGTGAATGTCCAGCAGGTTGAGCATGGCCAAAGCAGATGTCGTCACATCTCGAAGCTTCGTGAAGAGCCAGCCCTGAGATGGACTCGGCCGCTTGTCGATGGGCCAAAAAGCCATTTCCACACAGTTGTCCTGCCCGGCCGGCACGGTTTTCCACCATGTGCGATCCAAGCAGCCAGGAGACAAAGTGATGCCCTGGTTTGAATTCATTCTGGCCATTTTGATAATGCATAGTAAAGTCCAACCTCAAATGAGCTAAATGTGACTTCAAATCTGGTTTTTGAAGTCTCTTTGACTCTTTTCTCCTCACACACAGACACTGTGTCAGTGCACACAGATGGAACTAAGCTCCCAGTACTTCCAGCAGCAGGCCTGAATTGAGTAAGCATGTTACTGCATGAAAGACCGTTCTAATGACTGAATAAAACCAAAGCTGGAGGCAAAGGTGGCTAATGTGGAACATAGACTGGAAACAGGGCAAATTAGCCATTATGACATGATAATATCACAGTGGTTTTAGGGTGGTAAAATAATGAGGGACTTTTATCTTTACAGCTTATTGTTCAATAATATGAGTCTGAGCTTGGATGTTCTTAACGATGGTGTGGTTAGTGTGTGCTCTTTTTTTTATCCTCTGTGGTGAAGTAGCTGATGAACAGGTTAAAATGCCTTTAATCCAGTGTTGGGAGTAATGCGGTACAAAAGTAATTAATTACTGTAATGCATTGCTTTTTGCTGTAATGTGGTAATGTAAGGCATTACAGGGAAAGAAAATGGTAATATTTACTCGGTACAATTGTCAGTAACGCGGTAATTACAATGCATTTTTAAACCCAGAATCAAGATGTGTTCCTTAAAAATTCAAATTGCGGGAAACCCGAAGAAAGATCCAGTATCTGCATATATGACGTCATTTATGGACTCAGCTTTGCGGGCAGAGAGGACGCAGCGGTAACGGCTCAACTACTCCAGCTGCGTCCTGCACGCGGCCGCTGCAACATTCACAAAATCGCTCCACTAAAACCAAATAATTCACTTGCGATCGTTCATATCGGCGCATATTCTCTGGTATTGTGTGCTTTTCTGACGTGCTTTGCCTCAGCTGAGTTCATAATCTGTGCCCCGGTGATTTCAACTCATTGCTGCTGGAGCGCCGCGCATGTGAAGATCCCTTTGGCTGATAGTTAGAAAGTAGGAAGTCTAGGAAACAGTTTTTCTGGAAGATGGAGAAAACATGCAGCATGCAGGACGGTTAGAGAGAGAAAGGGCCGGAAATTATTCAAATAAAATCAAGAAAACTAAACAAAGTGCTTGAAAAGAAAAAAAGTAGGTAGATTTATCCCCAATACACATTTTTACCAGTGAAAAGCAATAATATATAAGCATTTAATATTTATACATGTGATAGAATCAGATCACACCAGAAGTCAGTCCCACATCCAGGGCCGTATCAAGGCATTTGGGGACCAAGGCAAATATAGGCTTGGAGCCCCCACCACCTCACTCCCTGATCAGTTAATCTAAGATGGCAGCGTGCTGAGAGTACAGATTGTTGTTGCTTTTATTTAATAAACAATCATTTTAAAGCACTGTTATTATATCTGACTGTTTTTAACAGCAATCCTAGCTCAGACACCACATCACATATATGTCATGAGCTCACTGAGCGTCAGATTACCAGATTCATATTGAAGTTGTTTTGGTGAAAGTAACTTAAAGTAATGCAAAAGTAGTGTAATGCCTTACATTTTAAAATCAGTAATATTTTAATGTAATGAATTACATTAAAATGAGGGTAACAAGTAATAAATAATGCATTACAGTTTTGAAGTAACTTGCCCAACACTGCTTTAATCTAACCTTAAGCCCAAGTAAGACGAGAGAATGCGTGTCTCCATGCCTGCTGAGCTTCTCTTGTTAAATTCCAGCTCAGTTGTTTACAGAACAGATCATTTTCTGTCCCTTCCTTTTGAAAAGGTTCATTGTACAACACGCTTTTCAGCACAGCGCAAGTATGAGACAGATTTGCATACACCAACATATTACCTGCTTTGCCTTTCTTCTACAGCTGCAGAAACATCCTTGTGATGAAGTGCTGCAACAAACAGCATCTGTGCATTTGTTGAGTGGATGTCTGAGCCAATGCTAAAAAGGGGTTAAGTTTGTGAAAATCACTCCACCTAATTTTATTTCTTTTTATTTCATTAGAGTTTATATTGGAGCTGTGTGCAAATTTGAATTAGATATTTCCTTGATGCTCTCTCACTGGTGATATAAATGCAGAGAAAGACGACTGAGAAGAGAAGGAGGAAGAGCAATTTCCTCTTGGAGGCTTTTTTTTCTTGATGACACTAATTTCCGACCCAAGACAGAAATTTTAATCACACTTGCTGAGGAGGTGCATGTTTCAGGAATTCAGCAAGCGCTCCTTGTCATTATTGAAATGACTCATATTTACTGTAACGCGTGTGAATTCAACCGAAAACCTGAGAGTCTCCATCTCTGAGCAACGGAGTGTGTGACACAAAGCCCCTCTCAGCTTCACTTATGACAAAAAAACATTAAACAGCACTTTATCTCTTTGTGACTGTAAAATCAGCCCCTAAAGGCCGGTGTTACTTATGTTTAATGAAGTTGCATCAGTAAAAGATCTTTTTACCAAAAACTTGAAACATTTTGGGGAAAAGTAAAACAGATCTATAGCGATGACTCAGACACAGCTGATGTGTGTTTCCTATTTTTATAACAACTCTGATCTCCAAAATCTAACCAAAAATCCAGCTGTGGTTCATTCAAACACCCTTTTAAAAGCCATCGCCATCAGTTTTGCATCATGCAGTTATTGAACTGAATGGCAGCAGCTTTCACTGGTGCAACCTGAGACACCTCCAGTGGGAATATCATAATATGTATGCCAGAGGTTTAAAGGTCCATAATATATCATTCATACAAACTATTATGTCATCTTTGTGGTGGCTGTGATATGTAAGAGACAGGACCATCTGAGAGTAAAAGTATTATAAAGGCTCTGAAGAAGAAGCTCCTATTAGAAGGCTTCCTACACAGAGATAAAGTGATTGACTGACGCTGTGTCCACGGTAAAGTTTCCTGGTAAAGCGCCGAGCATTAATGATTTACCCAAGATAAACAAGTGAGGAGCTCCACTCAGACCCATCAGCAGCTCCATTACTTATAACGGAGCCCCAACGATAGGTCACTCCTCACACCACATCCACAGCTCAACAGATTTAGCCTCTGAAATCAGACAGCTGAAGACAACTCACTTGTTGTGTTTAGTGTCACCTTTCACTTGTTTGCCTGCAGCCACCGTCACAAAACGATTCCAAAAAGCTACAAGACATAAACAACATCATCTTTATCTCCCCACCACAGTTCTCAAATACAACGATAACTACTTTAGACAGAAGCATGGATGTGCCATCAGATCCCCGGTTTCACGTAGCTTTCCCACACAAACGAGTCAGCAATCCCTTGTGGCGGAAATCCACATTTTATATTCTCAGATTAACT